ATCTCCTTTCAGCCAGTCCACACCAGGCTCCTGCAGCATCAACGCACACCGAGGCCGCCCACGCCGCCGACGAACCGGTAGTTCCTCTGGTCCCTGGCTCCTCACCTCCACCGGTACTCCACTCAGTCCCCAGCAGCCCTCGCGTTGCCATTATTGATCCTCTGGATGATCTTTCGCAGCCGGAAGACCTCGTGCTGACACCTTCTTGGCCTGAGAGCCCCCTCTGCTCTCCGTCTTTCTCTTCAGGCGGGGGACTTTTAACGCCTCTTCTTCTCCCTCCATGTCGCTGTCCGTGGACAGGGTCCCTTCAATGTAGGTCCCCAAACCCGTTCCCGGCTCCTCTTGCCTCCCTTCACCCCCTTGACCCACCTGCTGGACCCCACTCGCCCTTTCTTCCATCCCTCCATCCCCTTGACCCGCAAGCTGGACCTCGTCTGCTTTCTCATTCACTCCGTCACTCGCCTGCCCAACCTGCTGGGCCCCACCCGTATCTTCATTTACCCCGTCAATCCCTCTCTCCACCAGCTGGACCCTGCATCCCTCCCCTCACTCACCGCACTCTTCTGGAATCGACCTGTCCCTGTTTCACCTCTCTGTTGGACCCCAACTGTCCCCTCCTGTCTTTCCTGCCCGCCTTGGTTCTCTGGACATGCTCTGCTCAGATGTCCCTCTCCGCCACACTGGTAACATCTTGTACAGAATTGACAAACACCACATAGTCAAACCCATCCACTCTTAACTTGAACACCACGTTCAGATCCTCGTTTTTTTTGTTGACGATCATGTAAAGCATCCTCTTGTGAGATACCACGCGTCTCAGGAGAGGAGATTTGCAACCCGAGGACACTTTATTAAAGGGAGACATCCCGTGTCTCGACAGCTGTCTGGTCAACATCTCGTCCCTGATGAACGGGGGGGCGTTAGAGGCCGTGACTTGGGTCGCTGGAGTGGCGAGAGGCAGGAAGGGCACGAACGTCTCATTCACCACGATCCCCTTCTCCACCACCATGTTGGCTTTGTCCACGCTGTCTATGAACATCACAACCGCGTTGTTCATGCGGGCGGCGGACTTTATGCTGCCGTGACCGACCATCTCTCCCACGGTCAGGCTGCAGTCCTCCGCCGAGCAGGAGAAACCTGGCAGAACTTTAACGCCGTGCTTTCGCGTCAGTCGGGTCAGGTCCATGGCGCCGTTTAGCACGCCGACCAGCGCGAGCCGATTAGCTGCAAAACGCGCACTGCAGGAACACAAACCCCTAAAAAAGAAGTCCACACAAACTCTCTACGTTCCCCACATTAACTAGTAGAAATATCTACACGGAAAACGGTATCGCTGTCAGCTCCACGCTCTGCACGCTCAGACACTCCGTCACTCAGAGAGAGAGAGAGAGAGATTGATTTTTAGAAAACCTTTATTTTACATAAAAAACAATTACAGTAATTAGACACTATGCGTCTTCCCGCTCAGGATCCTCCTCCGCCGGTCAGACGCCTCACTCAGCCCCATTTCCTCCTTCCCTGGTGATCCTGAGGTTGATCTTCGGTAGTCGGAAGACCTCCCGCTGGGTGTAGTCTGCAGCACCCTTCTTCGTGCAGCCATGTTGAACGGAGCGAGCAAACTTCTCCAAGTTGGAGAAGTAGTCCTCCAGCTCCACTCCTCTCTGGTTCTTGGTGGCCTGCAGGAACGATTTCATCCGCCCCACCCCGTGCCTGCTGGTGACCGTCCCACCTGAGGAGACGCTGTTGTCAGAGGCCCACCCTGAAGAGGACTCTGACTCCCCACCTCCCACCTTCCCTCTGCGCCCCCCTCCCCCCCCTCTTTGCCCCGAGAGCCTCCCCTGTTGGCCCTCGTCTTCCTCTTCAGGCGGGGGGGCTTGAAGTCCACCCCCCTCTTCCATGTCTTCCTCGCTGTCCGAGGTTCGAACAGCTCCCCCACTACCGAGTGCCCCCATCCCCTCTTCCACTCTGTCACACACACCTGCACGCCGGGCTACATTCAACCTCCCATCCACTCCGACATTCATTCCCTCACCCCCCTGACCGACCGGCTGGGCCTCACCCGTCCTCTCACTCACCCCCACACTCACTCCCTCACTCACCCCCTCACCCACCTGGTGGACCTTCCCCATCTCCTCTCCCACCAGACCGACCCGCCGGTCCTCACCCTCCCTCTCTTCCTCCCTGGCCTCCCCCCGGTTCTGGTCCCGAGTGGAGGGGTTCTTCTCCGGACACACCCTCGCCAGGTGTCCCTCTCCACCACATCGAAAACACCTCCCGTCATCCGATGTGGCGAACATAACGTAGTCAAACCCCTCGATCCTCACCTTAATCACCAGGCTGAGAGCCTGGGCTTTGGTGAGGACCATGTGGGTCTGTCGCCTGTGAGAGACCACATGTCTCAGCAAGGGTGATTTGCACCCTGAGGACATCTTCCTTAACGTGGACACCACCTTCCCGTGCTTCGCCAGTTCCTCTACCAGCGCTTCGTCCGGGACGAATGGCGGAACGTTCGCGAGGTCCGACATGCCGACCGGCTACAAACAAACATCAGTCCAATCTCTTTCTCCTCACTGTTTCCCTCCTACTCCTCATTTGTCCTTATTTTCACAACCTTGCTCAGTATTGAAACCTTCCAGAAATGAAAACTTTCACAAATGACATGAATGTCGGTGTGTTCCCGGCTTTGCATTGTTGCTTATTTAATAAAAGACACCTCCTGCATGGTTCTTTTCAACCTTTTAACCTATTTCCATTGGTCAAATTTGGGGCTGAAGTTATTTTTAGCTTCCATTCCCCCCCATTCAGCTGTCATATATACATATGAGATGGAGGACACTTTGCTTCTCAATGACTGTCCGCCTGTGGCTCATAACTAATATGCTAAAGGCACAAACAGCACGGTAAAGAATGAATAAACTAAACTTGCATGGCTCATTTCTATTCTCTTAACTAATCAAAGCGCTTTAACACTAAGTCACCATTCACCTTTTCACACCCATTCATACACTGATGACTGGAGCTACCTTGCTAGGTGCCACCTGCCCATCAGAACTTCAAATATTAGTGAAATCCTAAATCTAGTAGATGTGTTGTCCTTGATCAGTGGTTCTAAAACGTTTTCTGTCAAGGCCCCCTTTGAGGATATATGGGCATTGTACGACCCCAACTGCCCCCCCAACCGGAAAAACAAAGATAGGGTATAGTTCCTTCTTTGTTTTGAACTAATTGCATCATAACATATATTACGTGTGTTTTTATTCATAAAATTATTACATATCACTTTACTTTTCAACTTAATAGTTTATTAAATGTGGTAAACATATTTTCAAGTGAATTTACTTTAAATATTAAAATTGAAGTTGGTAACAGTGCAAAAAGTTATATTGCACCTTTAACAGGACGTTTTTCTAAACCATTTTTTTGTGAAACTTCTTGATCTGATATGATTTGATTTTGACAACCATTAAGAAAACCCAAGAAAATAACCAATCTTCTCTTTGCTGCTGTTTATAAGGTCATGGAAGTATCAGCATTAAATTGAGGCCCTTTTTTAACCACTAGATGTTTTAGTGTTCATCTGAAACACCCAGGATTACTCGTATAGAACAGTTTAATTGATATACTTTCAATTCAAGGAACCTGTACAAAATTGTCTCAAATATAATCTAACTTCTAATCACCCAAGCATTAAAACACATATGTATTTTTGATGAAACCCTAACTGATGTCTGACTTCAAACACTTCCTGAACTCCTGATAAACTCTTTGATTGTTAGGTGAGTTTACCTGATGTGAATGGTTGTATTTGAGCAGTTGGTCGCATTATGCTTCTTATTGAACGAGGTAATTGTAATATTCAAATGTGGTCTTTGATATTTGGGCCGAGGAGGTAATCTGTGGTTGCTTTCATGACTATTAACGACTGATCAGATGAGGGAAGGTCAAAAGAGGGCTCTGATTGATCTGCTGTTGATCATTAACAGATCTTCCCTCAGAAGTCAGACTGAGATCACATCCCATCACACCCCAGAAACCTATAGAGGCTGAGTATATTTAATACTTTTCACTTTGAACTAGTTTTATTTTAACTTTAGACTCTTGTATGTTGTATTCTATCTCTGACTATACTAGATATTTAAACAATAACATTGTTTGGATTTACTTAAAGTAAATCTGTATAAGTTCTCATTTTCAAACTGTAACACATTAAAAGGGTCAAAATTGCTGTTTCTTTCTTTACACTATGAATGTATGCAGATCTCAACAGAATTCTGCGATGGTAGAGAATATGAGAAATATAAGAAAAAATCAACACCAATCAATTGAATGTCTCAGATTCGGCATTTTTATGCATTAAAACAGATTCTGAATGAACCTGTAGATAAACAGTCTCCGTGAAGAGCAAGTGATGGAAACCATGTTCTGATGTGCCAAATGTTTCTGACATACGTAAAAGACGGTTCTTGTGATTCGTATTCTGTGTGGTGTCTACATTTCATTAAACACCCTAAAACAAGTGAGAGTGCAGAGGAAAGACGAATTAAATCATATTCTGCATTCAGCTTTAACTGATCAGAACATTTAAGCTTTGTCCTTTTTACAGCTTTTAAATCCCGAATCACAGATCATCAATATTATTAGTATTCAATTAGTTTTGTTTTTCATCATGTTGTGCATTACTCATTTTAATTGGTAAGTTACAGTATTTTAATCTTTTTTATCAAGTGTGCTACCTATTTTATTTATTAATAACGTCATTATATCCGTTTTCGTGTTCCTCATCCTACATTTTTTTAAGTGAAGCAGTTTGAGCATTTCATGTGTACGGTGTGTCGTTTCATAGATTATTTGAAAAATAATTAATTTACCAACATATAATTTAAATCTGTAACGAAAATAATAAACCATTTACCCTTTGGAACAGAATCAAACCATTTCAGCACGCACGCGCACCAGGTGGGTGTCGGTGGCTCTCGGATCGTGGCATCAGCAGGAAGTCTTTTGAAGTTTGTGAAAGTTATCAGGTGATTAAACAAACAAAACCACTGATTGCAGCCTTAAATACACAGTATCCATAGCCGGGCCCATCATCACATCACACCTCAGATCCAACAGGTCAAATCAAAGTCCAGATTCCGTTTCATGTCGGACCGAACTTAAGCCATCAAATACTCGGGCTCGAGCATCGCATTAACATGTGAAAGAGCCGTCAGGTGTTTGATGGACTTTCTGCTCCACTTTAAAACTGGACACTGGAGGCTCCTCGGAGCTCAGAGGTCACCAGCAGCTCCTTGGGAACCTGCCATCATGGACGCAAGCAGACCATCGGACTTCAGCATCGAGCGCATCCTTTCCCCGCAGCTCGGACCCAAGCCGCCGGTGATGGAGTTTTCCCCGGACGGTCCTCTCCAGGAGATCCCCGCCGGGTTCGGTGGAGACTCCGGGAACATCTGGCCTCGGGCACCGGTCCAGCTCCCGGGCGCATACTGTCTGCAGCACCGAGGAATGCGATTCGGCGAAGACTTTTACCCGTATGGAGCCGGTTTCCATCACACACACTTCTCCAGCATGTATCCACACCCCGGAGTGCACGCGCACCAGCCTGCAGGTACCTCACACCGAACTCCACTGGAACTGTTCTTACTTCAACTTACAATTACTTTCATGGTTTTAAAAGTAAGTGTCGGTTCGCTCTGAATACGTTGACTTAGTGGTTGTGTTTGCTCCACCAGATGCGCAGCAGTGGCCGGGCCACAGCGGGCTCCACCGGCTCGGGGGGTCCGCGCAGTCGCACCTGCGGCAGAAGGCCCGGATGAGGACGGTGTTCACCGACAGTCAGACCAAGCGGCTCGAGTCGCTGTTCGAGATCACGGACTACCCGGCGACGGAGGCGCGCGCGGAGGTGGCGAGGAGCACCGGGCTGAGCGAGGAGACGGTCAGGGTGAGTCCGACCCGAGGGTCCGTTGTTGGGAAACATGTTTATCAAGTCCTTTACTGGCAAATTAACTGCTTTTCTAGTAATCAACTGGATGTATTCTCTATTTTACTGTCTCTCAAAAAAAGACCTTAATTTGAGTCTAATATAATGTGGAAAACACTACAGACACACATTTTAATAAAAACATGAAATGAAGATTCCTCGCAGCACTCTGGCTCCAGGAAAATATAGTTGTACTTAGAGAACATGCAGTAACATCTCTCCTCTGTCTCTCCTTTTGCTTCCAGGTGTGGTTTAAGAACCGCAGAGCCAGGAGGAAGCGCGGGTCAAAGGTGAAACCCTCTTCACCTCCCCGGAGCGCTGGAGAAGAGAATAAGTTCTTCACCTCTTTCCTTTGAACCCGACAGACTGTTCGCTTTCAACTAGGAGGTCAAACTCATCGTGTTCGTGCCATCAGAAGTCAAAGGTCATCTGTCAACGTCCTGCTCAGGGGCACTTCTGCAGGGTGGATGCTCGGTTTTAGCCATAAGAAAAAATGTGTGATAAATAACTCTGGACAAAGGCTTGTTTGGTCTTTACTGTAGTTTAATCTCCAGTTATAGTAAATCGCTAGTAAATATAGTCAATAGGAGCTCTGGCACAAACTCGACTGTTGGTTTCATATAGAAACAGATTGCTCTGTTTTCTTTCGTCAGCTTCTCATTTTGATATAGATCGTCAGATTGTATTTAAAAACAAGTCTTTAGTAACTTTTTTGTTTTAAATTATTCTTTATTTAAATTATTAAAATGATCATGTAAGGGTGTGTAAACATCTGTGCTTCAATGAAAATTAAATGCAATTGAATTGAATTTAGGCTTGTGTTGTTATTTTGAGCTGTATATATCAAGTCAGCAACTACAGATTATAGTTGTAGAATTACAAATGGTGTCTTCACTGTGATTGCACACGTATAAACTATTCAATATTAGTTATTCATTATAACAATTGGCCATGAGGGCACATGTAAGGGAAGAACATACCCTGTTTAGTTGTTGGTCAGTACTGGTGGAAATCACCCTCCCTTTAGAATCAAAGGTTTTATAGGCAAATTCCCATCAATGAATCATTCATGTGAACCGTCACCACACCAAAGGGCTGTACCTCCAGCACCGCTTAAAACACGTGAGGGCTTACATTTCTTTCCCTAATGTATGTAGAATCAAAGCATCTGCCTCAATTCCACTGACGCTGAGTAGATGGTTCTCCAAAAGGAGGACTAAAACCTCCAAAATCAGCCTGGTTCCTGAATAAACACTCCTGGATGCATGTAGCAGGACAATGTGACTTTATACTCTACACGTCCCATTAACCGATGCTCGTTACATTTCTAGAAATACATTGAGTGTAAGTGTGACTGATCCCGTGATAGATGCACTACCCACATAAGTCATAATAGATAATAATGGAGGATTTCAAACAAAAAAAGTAGCATTGTGTTAAATGAAGTATTTTTCTTTAAACCAGGTTCCATTGTGGTCCATGCACAAAGTGTAATTCATCTGACTGTTCACGTTGTGTTATGAAACATTTTAGACACAGGAGGATTCAATTAGCGGCAGAACAGAGAATTACAAAGGTGCCCTCCTTCACTCAATTTTCATTTTACAAGTTGGGTAACATAACAAGCTGACAGTTTGGTGGGTTAAATTGAATTGCTGTGTTTATCTATCTAGACAATAACAACAAGCTCTAAGCTTCTGCAGCATCGGCTATCGAACCACCAGCCCACACGTGTCACATCATTGTGTCACATCAGACACATTTGATGTGACACAATAGTGGTGCAAGTTAAGTGAATATTAAATAAGAATATTGTACATGGTGATACAAGCACTACATTTGCCGTGAATAATGCCTAGGAACAACTTTTCCAGAATAAGCTGGTATCCACTTGAAAATTAAGGATGTCGGCCATTTTTTAAGATGGCTGTCGGCAAAAATGTGAACAAAAGTTTTTTTTGTGTACAACTTGAATAGCTGGACACATTTTAATTGTCCAGATATCAACATGTATTTACTTTGGCACGATGAATTCAATAGTGCAAATAAAAATGAAATATGGCCACTATTTTTCAAGATGACGGCCATTGTTACTAAAAATGTGCACTTTTTGTTGTCAGAGACCAACCAGGTTTCAGCTGGATGACGTAGTAGCCCAAGCTTCAAGTTAGATCTAAATTAAAATGTTTTGATCTAACAGTGACAGTCTCTTTGTAAAAGAGTGATGTCTAAGATGTCACACTAGGGACGTCATTGCTGTGAGACTCAGCATGGGGTACAGTGTCGTTGTAGTCTACTAACTGTAATGCTAACTGTAATTCTAGTAGTTTAAGCCCTGTATGTACACCAGCTAGTAGTTCATTGTAGTATTTAGATAGCCATACCTGACCTGACATGATGTGCCAGCGCAGGATACGGTATTTACGGCATTAGGGCTTAAGTTACCCGGATGGTGTACGGATCGCACAGGACTGAAATGGCGCTGCATCAACGGTCGGGCTAGGTGTATCTGCCTAGTGCGTGTTGACGTCTGAACAGAGCTGTGTCCCATACCGGAATGTGCTTGGGTCTGTTATATGGTTGGGTGGTGAAAAGACAGCTCTGTATTATTTCATAACTGAATGAAATAATATGTGTAAAAGCAATAGACAGCATAGGTAAAAAAAACAACATCAAATTCTTTATTATGTTCATAAAGTTGTCACTGTTATTATTAGGAGCATTTCCATGCTGCTGAGAATAAGATACATATATTGAAAAAACCCAACAACAAAATACTGAGAAAGTTGACACAGAGAGAGAGAGAAAGCATGCAGTGAGTATCTGTAGGATGAAGACGTCTGATGCTCCTTCTCCCGTTTCCTGTTTAGCCTCACTCAATTTTAAAACAGGAGTTACTCACACACATGGACTGTAATCGGGCACAAAGTAATACACAAACACTTAAAAAAAGAAAAGTACACTTAGTGAAGTTATCAAAATATAGGCTATACACTGTATATTCTTAAGAAGATTGAATGGTAAAACAAGTGGTCAAACAAAACCAGAAAGCACAGTCGTTTAAATGGAGCAAATCTATACGACATACCAGGACTAGCGTAAGTGTAAAAACGATGATTACAGATTGGGTAAATAAAACTATTTCTGGGATGAAGGTCAACACTTTAAATGCTACCGTAGCGATTAATATAACTTGACATCTATATAAAATAAAACCGCTTGACTTTGTGCGTTTGTTATTTCTAAGGTATTTCATCCACAGAAGTCAAAGAATAAAGACATTTGGTTTATTTTTAAGGGTCATAAGTAAAAAATGTTATACTTATGATGAGTGTTAGATAATGTAACTTATTTCCATATTTGAACTTTGTATACCCCATAAACACTCCATGGGCCGTTTGAATAAATTTAACATTGATTGTGGCATAATTTTAGAGTTAGTTGATCCAGTGCAAGTCCAGCAAGGTTGTGAGAGAATTGATGATTAGAATTTTGTAAATGTATCACTTTTTACGTACGATGGCTCCGACACACGGTCGAACAAATCGAATTTGGAATGAGAAAAGCTTGAGGGACATTTGGTAGGTCTTGAAAAAGTTATCTAGAGACTCACTTGTGATACTTAGTGGCTAAACCAGAGAAATATCCACAATTTCACAGCAGTAGGAACACCAAGTTCAACTGGACAGTCTTCACTGGGACATATTGACTGTACTGTACGTTGACTGTACAAAGACAAACTCTCTTAGTGGAGCGTTAGCATCGAACAGCGTGCTGCAGCAGCACATTGGTTCACACTGGTTAAAATGAAAACGAGATGTAAACTACAACAAGTTGATTTGGTTGATCCATCTCTTTTGCTCTGGCAGCAGCAGAAAGGAAGGAAAATGAAGCTTTGAGTCATATTATGCCATATTGTGTACATGATATCAAGATTCTAATTTTTTAAAGAAATTGTCTTACAGAACGTTAGGGACAGTTCTGACAACCAATTGATGCATGGGCATTTTTTCTAGGTGTCCTAAAGCCGAGTTTATGTCTGACTTCACTAAGACGGATGTGGAAAATCTAAATATTCTGGGTTTGATATCAGGTGACATTAATTTAGCGTTTCCAAGACAGAAACATGTCTGTTTTGTACACAATTTCAAATTGTAAATAAATCTAAATTGGTGTTTCGGGACAGAAAGTTGTTTTGGAACTCAGAAATCCGAAAATGTGGGAACCATGGATTGCTCTTCTTCTTAGCAAGTTGTTCAAATCAGTTGAGCAGCAGACTTTTGGGCAAACTAACTCCCTGACATACGCGCTGATAGAAGAGCGGAGTAAGGTTAGCGGCTTTTGAGGGTCTGGTCCCAACAGGCTCCGCCCTCGGAACATGTGAACATGTGAGCGTGTTCGCTGCTCCGTGAAGGCTGATCAACGATCACAGAGTGTAAAGAGACATCAACACAAGAACCACGTCCACACAGAGACAGGTACACTGGTTACATATTGCTGATTTCAGTAATTCAAACTTCAAGAGAGATTTTAACATCAAGTGACCACACGCATGTTTAGGTATAAGTCGTGTTTTGTCTTTTCACATTTGCCCACATTCACAAAAGGAAGAAAAGTATTATTTGAATGCAAAAAGAGGGATGATAGAGGTTGGGGAGAAAGCAGAGAGGAGAACTTTTACAAATATCATGGCCTGTCTGGGCACCTTATTCAGGGTTTAGATTGGGACGTTGGGACATTTTAAAACCCCAAAAGGGAGGAGAGGAATGTTTGATGAGAGCTGCGCTGCTTACCAAACATTTTTCAGACGCAAGCATGAAAGCAGCAGAGACAGGATTAGAAACACAAGAGACTTCAATATCACATGTAGCAAGGCAGGAAAAAAAAAACCTATTTAGATTTTGAAGTTTTTTAAAGAAGGTCATGGTTTTGGGTTTGTTAGCACTTTTGGTTAACAGAGTATGATTGCGGCTCTTGACAGTAATTCCATAATATACTGTCTTTAAACTCGGACTCGATGCAATACACAGATTAATAATGATAGTTGTTCAAGCCGTTGTGTCACTATTATGTCTACTAACTTTATTTATTAATGACCACGTTAACTGAATCTTTTTCTTTTTGTGATGAAGCAAAAAGTTAAATCCAGCCTTTTGTTTCAGAAGTGTTGAGAAAGAGTTCTAATTTGCTGAGAGGAAATTTTGGCATCAACAAAACTTCAGAGCCGGACATATTTCAAAGAGAGCAAGAACTACGCTTAAATTACACTTGTTGCATACATTTGAACGATAAAAAAATCTGATGGTAACACTGATAAAACACAAAAAACTTAATGAATTCATTTGACATCTGAGATTGAAGCATGCAGGTGATGACACACGCAGTCTAGAATTATAATGGTTTCTAGGGTTGATGCCTTTGTCTCAGGAGAGGCAAGCAGCAGCCACATCTAGATGCAGTATAGCTTTACACGCTCTGAGCTGTGCAGAACAAACGTCACAGTTTGTTTCTTGTGAGTGAGATGCAGTTTCCACCGTTGCAGTGGCGAAGATTAACGCGTTTAATGGCTCTTTCACAACTGGCAGCCCCATCTCAACTCTCAGAATGATCTGCGATTGTGGAATTTGTTTGGCAAACGTCATTGATATTACTGTACAACCATGGGTCAAAGCATCAGCATTAATTACATTTCGTTAATAAAGTAAACTACGGCTGGTGCCAACCACTAAATTTGTTGAGACCCAAATGACTTTGCAGCAAAAGCCAAACATGCACAAACGGATGTCTCAAATAAAGCGATAACTTGGACGAGCTGGGACGATGTGATGACAAGACAAAATGACGGGACGCGTAAAGAGAATATTTCAGGGTGATTGCTTTAGCTCAGTTTCATGAAAGGATTGCAGGACATTTTAATCGGATACAAGGCACTATAGATTTTGCTATAGAATGGCTAAATTAGAGGGATTCAGGCCGAGTAAGAGAGAGTTTCACTACGAGAAGTCTGACTGACAGTGAAGAGGCGGAGAGGGAGGAACGCTAAAAGTAAAGATGAAGATTGAGAAGAGTGGTGAGGTCAGGTGGAGAAGCAGAGGAGGAAGGAGGGAGGAGTTAGGACTGCATCTCAGCCCGAAGCATCCACGGGAACCAACAGCAGAACAGCAACCTGGTGGAGAAGAGAGGAAGAGGAGGCAGAGGACGAGAGAAAGAAAGATGAGCGGAAGGGATGAGAAAGAAGATGAAGAAACAGGCGGAGGGTAAAGTGGTTTCAGTAAAACTTGTGCTGCATACTGATGTAATACGTGTACATGGGATTTCCATGTACCATATTTCCCTCTGATATGCGGTAGATATATAAAGTAGCAATAAATGGAAGTACTTAAATACTTATATTTTGTATTTCATTAAAGTACCGGAATAAATGTACTTAGTAATATCATACGACTGCAACTCTGTAATCATACAACCATCTTGAGCTGTAAAAGTTGTAAACACGTGTTCTGGTACTTCATTCATTCTTAGCAGTCTCACCTGGATATGGAGCTCTCAGACGTCAGGTCTTTAGGGGAACGCATCGTGTTGAAGTTACGCTTTGGCTGTGACACTTCAGAACACAAGCAAAGACAAGCAGTCTTGGTTAGTTAGTGATTTCAATACAAAAATGACGTTTATGGGTCCATATAAAGGTCACCGAGCTGTATCACCTGTCACAACACAACCCAGGTTCATTGATGTGCGGTTTACAAGGGAGTTTATTTGTAGCCCTTTTTACGCTACACACAACCAAGGTATGAAAAAAACCATTCCAACAGGTAAAGTAGACTAAACTTCATAGGAGAAATCAAAAGAAAACACTACTGAACTGAATCCTACACAGTGAGTCTATGTCTCATTTGGGATTCAACAATCCATCTGATCAGAAGCGAAATTTTTCACTTCTTGGTTCATTGCAAAGAATGTAATATTAGTAAAGAGTGTAACACGGGCTACCGGTGGCCGCCCGCATCCAGTTCAAAACATTGGTGCTCACGTACCATGCTGTGAATGGATCGGGTCCAGCTTACATTCAGGACCTGGTCAAACCCTACATCCCGACCCGCACTCTCCGCTCTGCATCTGCTAAACTACTCGTCCCTCCCCCACTGAGAGCAAAACACTCGACTAGGTCTCGACTCTTCGCTGTCCTTGCGGCGAAATGGTGGAACGAGCTCTCTGATGACACCAGGACCACAGAGAGCCTTCACATCTTCCGCCGCAAACTAAAGACACACCTCTTCAGACTCTACCTCGACTAATGACTAACAAATTGTAGCACTTAAATTGTACTTGTAACGTCACTCATCTATAGCAAATTGTAAATTGGCTTATTTGAGGAAATTGCATTTTCTTGTTTCTTGTTCTTCTGAGTTTGTTCCCTATGGTTGAATGCACTTATTGTACGTCGCTTTGGATAAAAGCGTCCGCTAAATGACATGTAATGTAATGTAATGTAACAACAATAACAATGAGCACCTGAAGCAAGTCCCATTTAACCATGTGCATTACAAAGGACAGCTTACATCTGCATATAGTTGAGGTCATGACTATGCAAATTCAGATATGCCCAATGGTCAGTCAGCACACCTGCTCTCCAAAGAAAGGGATTTTAAACGGTCCTCTTCAGACACTCAGAGTGAAGGTACTTACTGGTGACTTGGTGGACTTTCTTCACCATGGAGTTGTCATTTTGGAAGCCTTCTTTAGGGCCTCCGATTCTGATGAAAACAGTTAGTTGTTTAGAGGCTTGAGGATACTGTCAGAATGCATGAGAAGAAAATGTCAGTAAACTGAATTCTTCCAGGTATATGAGGGATTATGACACAGCATCAGACCTCCACTGGCTTGAACATTTGGATTTTCATGTATCACTCTCCACTCACAGCCCTTACATCCTCACGCTTTGCCCTTCCTGCACCACAGCTTTAGCCAGACTTAAACAGTGTGACGAGGTCAGGTTTGGTGGTGTCTTACCTCTGGACCCGGGAGGGTGGAGCAAACACTCCATATTTCGGCAGGCAGTTGAAGTAGCGGACTCCAAACACCGAGCCGTCATGTTTTCCTGTGGCCTGATCCAACTCGATACCGAACCAGTAACCTGCAGGGACACAGAGAGCTCGAGTCACGTATGCTGAAGTCATGGATGTGTCAGGAAGACAAGAAGTCCATCAGAAGACGAAGGAAACAAAAGGGTTCTTATACGTAGCCTTATTTAGGCGAGAAAACCATCTTAGATGTTGGAGACCACCTTTATGGTACATTATGGGGTTAGGGGGTATTTGAAAACGTTATTTTAATTTGTATGACATGTAAATCAAGAATAATATAAGATAATCCTTTATAAGTTCCGCGGTGGGAAAATTCTCGCAGTACACAGCAGCGTGGTTTTTACCAACTGGGGTTTTTTTCCTGTGAAAATATCAATTTTTTTTACGATGTTTGAAACTAATTACTTGTGTTTGAATACATTTTGTTGTGTTTTATTACATTTGTTTTGTCGCTTATTTTCAATTGATCTGTATCAACCGTTTTTTGGGGGGGCCATATTCTTTGTAAATTTCTTAAGAAAAAAATAGATTTTTTGTGCAATGGCCAGTTTAGGAAAAAACTGGACCTTTACAAAAATGCAACTCCACACAACTCCAACACAATAGCCAGTGTAAAAAGTGACATATGATGGTATGTTAGCGTTTTTTCTATTCTATTGTTTATATTCATATTTGCGTAAAGTTTAGCCTTCATAAGGCCCAAGAAAGTGTTTTAAAAGTATCTAATTACATTCAATCAGTAAGTAGAACACAGGAACAGTAGTACAACACAAACAAAAAGAGGAGGTTCAATACTCTCAAACTGTTACCTTATTAATCACAGTATTTGGTCATGTTGCATATCTGTTCAATATGCAGTATGTGATGAAACCAACATCGTTCATTCAGATCAGCCTAGTGATTAGTAAATGATCTGGTTACGACAGCAATAATGTCAGAGAAGCCCCGCAGACAGACCTGGGGCGAAGTCAGTCTTCCCGTAGTAGCGGACGATGCCGTGTTTCTGTCCTGCCACCAGAACCTGGTCTCCAACTTCCACGTTCATTCCTTCTGGATCCAGACTCGCTACTGACAACTTCTTCTTCTGGGCTGAGAACGCGGAGAAAACAGAATCCTTTATCACAGAGATTCACACATAACTCGTCAAGAAATCTGGGATTAAATGTTGTTCTCTTCAATGAGAACAGAATCCCTGATTGGCATTCATAGAGATTGGAGCTACACCTTTCGCTCTGGGCTTCTCCTTCTTCTCTTTCTCCTTCTTGGTTTTCCGGGTGAGGCGGGAGGCCAGGTCCATACGGGGGGTTCTGGGGGTGGAGGTGACTGATGAAGGGGCCTGATCCACAGCTTTGGAAATCTTTGACACCGGTGCAAAAATGCCTGCAGGGCAGAAACGACAACTCAGTAAACCCTCAAATCCTGCAGACAGCAGTTGGGAAAAGGAGTTACAGCTGTCTCTGCAGAGGTTCGGGCGCTGGCTCCCGGGGACCATGACAGCAGTTACCTAGTTTAGGAGGGCAGATGAAGTAGCGCACGCCGCCCACACTGCCATCGTTCTTTCCTTCCGGCTCGTCGAGCTCCACGCCAACCCACTGACCGCTGGCGAATTCTGTCGTGCCACAAAACCTCAGCGTGCCGGACTGAGGGAGACATACAGAGACGGAGGACCGTAAAGTTAGGGGTGAAAACTCTCCGGGCCACTTACATGACTGCAGAGATCAGGTTAGGTTAGGCTGCATGGAGGCAGAGTGTCTGCTGCTGTATTTTATGACAAGGGAAAGGGAGGAGACACAATATCACAGCTGCAGGTGGAGGGACACGTGTCAGGAAGGCGGCATGTTGTGCTGGAGTCAATTCAGTTAGTCTACGTTTTCCGGCCGGCGCCCGATCCAACCAACCTGTCTGAGGTTTGCAGGCGGGTCGACGTCTCTGCTCTGGTCTCTCTGGAGCTACACAGTGAGAACACACTGTTCAGAGCTCATTCATTGTGAGGGTGTGAAGGACAAAAGGCAGCCATCACACAAAAAAAAAAGATTTAAATGTGTCCAGTAGGAATGCATTCACCTGGAGCAAAAGCACCAGAAATATACTATTAACATCATGTTTAACCGTCGAGTTAACTGAGTGGGTGTTTTTAGTTTGAAATGTTCGGGGGGTACAGATGTGCCAAACTAGGTTAAGGGTCATTTACAAACAGCTGGTCCAGCAGGAAGCATTCCCACATGTTGATTTCATTGAAAGGAAGTAAATCGGACAACTATGAAATTAGACTAAATGTGTTACTAGCAGGTTGATTCTGACGGCCTAGTTTGCCACAGGCTCCATGTGTCCATGCGAATGTGGTATGGTCTGTGGAAAACTGAAGTTCATTTTGCTGTGACCACAACATATGTGACTGACGAATGGTAAATGGTAAATGGACTAGTGCATCTCTTTTCCTGTCTTCGGACCGCTCCAAATGCTTTAAGACAACATATCCTTATTCACTCATTCATCCACTTTCAGACCCTGATGGTCGCGCATCAGAACTCTAGCTTAGATTCATACCTATTCAATGGAAGCAATTTCATCTTGCCCTAAACCCATTGACATGGACCAGGGGAACCGGGGTTCGAGGTTGTCGATCCTCTGATCTGAATGACGACAACGTTCAACCACTGAATCACAGTTGCCCAGAAGGAGCCACCAGTCCTGCTCCCCAGTCCTGGACAACCAGTAAAACCACCACTCTTGTTTCTGCCAATTGTTTCATTCAATTTGTAAACTGTGAGCCGGACGCAGATGATTTTTACATAACAAGGAGCTCATCTTTCCTATTTTTCTTTTTGGAAGGTTAATCAGATCCCTAGAGGCCTCGTATTAGCGCTTCCAACTGGTTTCATGTTTCTTGCTTTTCCTACTTGGAAAACTTGGACTTGGGTTGCAACAGCGATGAGAGCCAAGGACATTTTAATTGATTATATATATATATTTTATATATACAATATACAATATATTTTAAGGTGTTTGTTGACATAGTTCCGCCAGAGCTCATCAACAAGCTGAATTAAGCAGACATGGCAGCATTCATTCTTGAGCAGCTGGTGGCTAACCGTTCATCATTACGTCTATTTAAATATAATTTTGTCATAAGAATCTTTATTGCCAATGGTTATAGTGCATGGGGCAATACTTAGTGATTAACATTCTGTGAATGTCTGTTGCTACGTGAGCAGAGCTAACCAGCTGGTCTAAAATTCCAGCAAAATATTTTTCCGTTCTATGTTTAAGACTTGGGATGGACTAACATCCCTGAGACTCATTGAGCCTCTGACCTTCATGTCGTCCAGCATCACACGTTCCCCCAGCTTCAGCCCCAGCGAGGTCAGCATCAGGTTTCCTGGGATGTTGTCGTAGTTGGGCAGTGTGGCTCTCGGGAGGTTGCAGCTCAGGGGGACGGCGTCCAGAAGCAACTGCTTCAGCTCCTTGGCCGCCATGGCTGCCTCTGCCTTATCCAGAGTCATGTCCATCGGGTCGGGAACCACCTCCCCTGGAACCTGGCCCTTATCGTTCTGCAGAGAGAGATGGTAGATGATTACATCTATGACTACAGGCCACACGAGGAGCAAGGTGAATTCCCCTTTGATTGAGGCAAAACAACAGAATGAAAAGAGAAGAATGAAGAAGAAGAGAAGAATGAAGTGAAAACATATGGTGATTATCAAGCTAGAGGGAGATTCTGAGCCTACAAAAACAGTTAGTTTACCCGAACAATAGGGTTGGCTCCATGCTCTAGGAGACATTTGACTGCACCCACACAGAGGTTGGAGGCAGCGATGTGGAGGGCTGTGCCATAGTGGAAGTCACTGCAGGTGGAGTTCAACACTACGGAGAGAGCAAAAGAAGAGTCAGAACTAACCAACACTTCTGAGCATGAGTTTGATTGCTGTGTGATGTGCGTGTGTGTGTGTGTGTGTGTGTCTGTGTGTGTGTGTGTGTGTGTGTGTGTGTTTGTTTGTGTGCACCTCTTGGTTTAGCGGCTTTGAGCAGGACTCGAATCAGTTCCGGGACGTCAAAGTAAGCGGCATAGTGGAGAGCGCTCATGTTGGTCCAGCGGCTCCTCAGACTCACGTCGGCGCCCAGAGCGATCAGCTTGCTGCTGAGACGGAGCGCCGCCGCCGGGTCACCTGCACACGCGGTGAGGAACGGGTTAGGAGGATAAGAAAGATTCACCTCCCCCGCCACCGCCGCCGCCCGCCACACCACAGATCCCCGACATCACTGACTGAACTGATGTTGGCCTTTATTTGTGGTCCCTAGAGTAATTTTGCTACGCCCGTCTAGGACGTGATTGTCTTAAGGACATTTTCCACTTGACTACATTTGATTGACTACTTTAGTTAATTGATTAACACGGATGTTCGCATGATATTTTCAAAGGTTTTTATGTTTTCTCTCAGACAGTTCAAGTGCTTTACGCCCCATTAATTGTCCCATTAAAGAATTCTGATAGAAATTGATCTATGACTCCAACCTCATCTGTGTCCAGTCTGTTCGAGAAATAAACTACCACACATGAAAAACATGTGATAATGTGCAACAGACAATAAGTGCATTAATCAATTAGTGGATTGACAGAAAATGTATTTGAAACTAAATCGATGGTTTAAGTAATGTGTCATGAAAAAACATATGATGTTGCATGTGTAAGAATGTTAATCATGAAAATGGGTTGTTAATAATGTTGATATTTAGCCCGGTGGTGGGAGGAAAAAAACATGTCACAGTGTTTCTCCCGGCTCTGGATAAAAATGAATCGATTAAAAAGAGAAAATTGTTATTCTATATAGATATATATATAAGATAAAAATAACACCAGTCTCTTAATTCAACCGGTAACCTCCCTACGGATGCTGCAGCGTGGCTGAACAAGTTGGACTGATTGTATCCGTATCAAATACCAGCTTACCAACTCCGTGCGCTCCAGCCTTACAGCTGTAGTGAAGCAGCGTCATGTCAGTCAAACCGTCGCGGTCGTTCACATGGCAACCACGCTTCAGGATCTGAGACAGGGAAACAGAGGGGCACGTGATGGACAACTCTCACATCATTTGCTTCTTGGCTCAGTGCAGTTTCACTCAAAAACTCACAGCGGGCGTTTATGTGTTAGCTACCATGTCGGACCTGACCCAGCATCAAAGCTTCTTTGATTAAATGTCTGTTCCTTCTACGAATACTTTAGTGACAGGAGAAAGTGGGCGACTGATTAAGGGTGACGACTCCAATGCAGCATCCCACTCATTTCATCTCGTTGAATGATTTATCATCAGAGGTATAAAATAGGTGAAGCCTCGGGGTCTGAAAAGTGAAACCAATGGAGAGGAGTTTTAAAGGAACAGTTCACTCCAAAATTTAAAAATACATATTTGTCCTCTTGCTTTTTGTCTGCCTTCTTGCCAATACAATGGGACTAAGTGGCACATTGCCTGTGGTGCTTGAATGGCAAAAAATACATTTGAAACTCAACAGCGGTGTCTCTTTCTGGACATTCTGAGCTATAAATTACCATGAACGAAACTGCTCACAACAAGGTCTGTGGATTATTATCTCAATTAACCAGGTCACAATTTCTCGAAAAACACACTTCTGAGCTTTTCAAATGTATCAGGAGGTTGTGATTTATTGTAATTGCACATTGTCTGTGGCCCCTTTTTTGCCCGCTGAATATTGGAAACATTTTGTAGATTGTGCCAGTTTGCTGACAGTTTCATTGTTATTATCACCAAGTGGGAGATATTACAAATGCGTCATAGTTGTTGTTGTTGTACTACAAGTAAAAATATTAGCAATTTTCTGAATGAGTCATTTCTGTCATGTCACTGGTCCAGGCTGACTCAGCGTTCTGCCGAGTCATGGTAGAGCCTCCATGACATTCCCTTTAGCCTCTCCCTGCCTCTGCACCACTTCTCTCTGCTCTGTCTGTCGGTTTGAAGTTCATGCAGCATTTTAACTGGATCAGCATCACCTTGTGTCAGTGTTAAATCCGAACTCAACTAAAAAAAATAATCCTTGTGTTTTTGTGATGGCGCATGAATAAACAAGCCGCACTGAGGTAAAAGCGCTGACTGTCTGTTGACTTAAAATAGCAAATTGCGATTTCCGTGCCATGCATGTGCATTCACGGGAGGGTCATGGAGAAAGTTTCCCATAAAGATATGGGAGGGGATGCATAAAGTGCACCAAATGATGTATTCTGCGGTATGTACAGAAACCGCCCGCAGGTGTAAACCAGAATGCGGGTTTCCTCGCATGTGCCTCCTGGTGAAGTGACAGCAGTAATCTGAGCCAGATGCCAATACAGGCCAAGGAGACGAGCTGAAAGGATTTTTGCCAGAAGGATGATACTTTTTGAGTTGAGTGAACACAAAATCATTATGCGTTATAGATTAAGCAGCCATGTAATATTACAGTTAATGGAATGGAAGCGTTCACACTCCATTCCAGCAGTTGTCAAACTCCTCGCTGCATTACAATTATTGTCATCAGGATAATTTGAAACTGTCACAGCATCAGCAGTGGGACCTGTATGCAGGTTAGGGAATGATTGTCTAATTGTGTGGCTGATCACTGTGCCTAAGAAGTTGAACAGCAAATTGACACTGAACAAGGACTAAAGTGCTTCAGTGTGCTTGTGTTTGTGTGTTCTTACCTCGCTGCCGATGACGTCGATCTTGTGCTGCACCTGGGGAACCCACTGACGCACGATGGCAAACAGCTCCGGGATGGTGGTCTGAGGATCCAGGAGGATCTCTAAACAGGCCGGGTCATTGGGGTCGAAGAAGGTGAAGGCTGGAGACGGATGGAGATGAGGAGAGTGAGGCCAGGTTGCAGCGCCCTAAATCACACCCTGCTTTATAGTCTAATTGACTCTAAATGGACCATAATTTACTAAATAACATCATGCAGTATTAAAGAAGACTTGTAACTTGTATTGAACCCATAAACTCATGTTTACAATGTTTATTGTTTACAATGTTTATTGAAGTAAGAGATCAAGAGAGAAGTAGAGTCATTTTCTAATAGACTTCTATACAATTTGACTTATTCTTTAGTTGTCCCTGGTAGCATGAGAGAGAATGCAAGTTAACATGGAAGGCTTTACTCCTTAGAACCATAGGTTTCTGCCTGGACAGACGTCATATTTAATGAATGTCCCTATAAAATGACAGTTAAGAGGCAAGGATGTCTTGTTTATTAAATGCCTGTTGCCTCCACCACTCTTTCCTTTCGTCTCTTTGTCTCTTGCCTACCTCCTTTCCTCCGCCTCAAGGAATCGAGGAGACACGCTATAGCATAATGAAAATCCTTCCTCATGTATGACAGAGGGTGAGGGTGATTCGATCTATTCTCACACAGAGCCATATGAGAAGCTGACATGAAATCTGCATGGACAAAAGAGTACCTGGCAGGTGATAGGATGAACCATCTGTCAATCAAACTCAAAGCCATTCCTGCAAAAGGAAAAACCTGTTTTTCATCTGAAAAGGCCATCAGTTCTGCCATAACTTGTGATATTTCAGTATGTAAGCTACCTGTTCATTTTAGTAAATGATAGCCTGTTAAAGACAGAAAACACCCTGGTGTGGGTGAGGAAGACGGCTCTATATTCACTGCTGGATAATGGAGAGGAAATGCAGAGTGTATAATGGAGCTGGCCGGCCCTGATTTTGTCTGATGAATACCAATGAGCCTATCGTCCACACAAGTCATTCCAGAGCTTTCCAAGGATATTTATCAGTTGTCACTGATATGGACTGTTGTCATGGACAATCCACCAAGGTCTATGATTTGGATCATTTCCTCACTGTTCACCTCTCCATGCTTCTCTCTGTGCGTGTTGTAGCTATGTGAAGGCGCACAGAGACTCTGCTCAAGTTACTGTAACTGATTGTGGTTGTTTTTGCATTTTGTTGTTGTTGTTTAGTAGGAATTAGAAGCCGGACTCCGCATTGACCTCCAGCCCATCTGCCTGCTCACTGTTTATCCATAACATACAATACAACTGGACAACTGCAAATAAGTCCAAATTGCTTGATATGATTTAAAGGGGACAATACTGTGAGCCAATTTATGTTATATAAAAATGCATATGGACCATTTTTTTCTTTGATAAAAATATCCAGGTAAAATAACAATTACATATCCAACATGGTTGAGGTGTTATTATTAATACACTGCCTGTGTGTTGCACACAGCACAATTAACAAACAAATAAAATGGAACTTTGTTGGAACAACGCAAGTAAAGTTGTGCAAAAAAAAAAAAAAATTGTCAAAAATAGCTTAGTATAACTAAACAGGGCTTTGATGTTTTACAGTGCGATTTGATCTGTGTTCTCTCCATAGTTTGCATGCCTCTGTCAGGGATGTTGCGTGGGGAAAAGGGCAGGACTCAAACGCTCCCTAATTACTAAGGAGGGGTAAAATGCAGAGAATAATTTCCCCACGTGGGATTAATAAAGGATTATAAATAAAATAATAATAAATAAAAGGTAAACTTTTTTTTTACAAAGAATCGACATTTCCCCCAGCCCCTCGTGCCCCATCTGTAATACCTCCGCGCCCCACGAAAGGGTCCCACCTATGGCGTCAGTTTAATGACAAAACTCACACATGCGAGGAAACGTCTATTTGAGTGAATTTCAGGTTTTCGCAAGTCTGCTCGCTCGAATTTATCATACGCTCTCGCGAAAACTTGATCTGCTCGCTCGAAAGTATGACTTTTGGCAGTGTGTGGGCGGGAACCAAAGGAGGACGGGCTCTTCTCTGATTGGTCCTGGTCGTTGAGGCTTTGACAGAGTCTCGTAGGCACGTCACTCAACACCACCCTTCAACCAAACTCCGGTAAGTAGCTACATATATGTATGGTGGAGCAGCAAGCTTAAAGCTAGCTAGTAGCTAGCTATGTTACCTACTGGCAGATAACAGTGACTATGTCCCGAGAACTGACTCTTATTCATGGAATAAATAAAGTGACCGTGGGTCAAATGCCCTAATCACCACTAGTATTTAATCAAAACCGGTTTAATGGGTACCGTTACTTCGGTTCGTCATTAAATATGAGTTTTCACCATACATATATGTAGCTACTTACCGGAGTTTGGTTGAAGTGAGTGACGTGCCTGCCGACGAGACTCAAAGCCTCAACGACCAGGACCAATCAGAGAAGAGCCCGTCCTCCTTTGGTTCCCGCCCACACACTGCCAAAAGTCATACTTTCGAGCGAGCAGATCAAGTTTTCGCGAGAGCGTATGACGCACCCCACAGTTTGAGAACCACTGTATTATGTAATAGTATCCTGAGCAGTAATGCCTGGATAGAGAGGAGTACCATTATGTTTTTAAGGTGGTATGACCTAGCACAGACCTTAGGTAAGGGACACCCAGGCGAAGGGACTTGGGTGGTGGTTTGAGGCTGGGTGGTAAAGCCTGTGTGTATTGAAGGTGGTATTGCAGTTTTAACGGTGGTAAAACACTATGTACATAAAGTACAGTATGTAGTTAAGGTTGATAGCAGTGTTGAAGATGGTATAATATTATCTGCATAGGACTGTGTGTAGTGTGTAGTGAACAGTATCTAATAAGCTGCTAGGGCCGTGTGTATTTGAGGTGGTGTGACGTACTGTAGTCTTTGGGGAGCGGGGCCTGGGCGGAGGGGTGCACCATGGCTCGTCGGCGTGGCTCGTGAACTGGACTCTGGTACTCGGACACCGACAGCAGCTCAGGCTCTGGATCGACGTCACACTCCTGACAAGCCAGTGGGTCCTCCTCTACTTCCTGCTCCTCTCTCTCCTCCAGTTCCTCCTCTTCCTGCTCATCCTCATCCTCCACCTCTGCTTTCTGCTCTCCCTCCTTCTCCTCTTCTAGCTCATACTCCCCCTCTTCTTCCTCCTCCTCCTCGGTCAGTGCCTCCTCCTCTTCTTTCTGGACTTTCCCCTCCTCCTGCTCCTCGCAGTCATGCCTCTCTTTCTCCTGGACCTCCAGGTTCTCCTCTTTAGTCATGGTGAGGGATGCTACAGCTGGGCCTGTCAGAGGGTAGAGAGGACAATTTTTATAATGGCAAATATTTTTAGCAGGAACACAAGGTCGTCCACCGTAACCCATCAATATGCAGGATAATATTTCAGTCGCGTGTTGTCAGAGCCATTCTCTGTTGACCTAAATACCATCAGTATATACATTTTATTTTGATATATTATTTCCACAAACATGCTTGCAGGCATACAATGACGTCAGCTTGAGCACGTCTTTTGATTAAATACCAGAACGAGCTCATTCCTGTATGTCTACCAGCTGTTTTTGTTCATCCCACAATGGCTGATGAAGTAGAAAATATCCATTGCAGATATTCTTACAACGGCGTTTTCAAGACGGACGTTTCAATAAAAGCTAGACATTGCAAGAAGAGGTCGGCCCCAACGCCAGTTAGCGATGCCGTCATAAGGATGGTATTAAGGGGTGGATTCATGAAATGCACGGCCCGCCACATTTATCTTCTGCTGGCCGTTATCGTGTCATAGGTCATTTTCATTAGCAACCCTTCTTAAACAGGTAGTTTGAGCTACTAATTCAATAAATCCTCTACAACAAATGTGAAGATATCCAGTATCGTAGGCTGTACACTTGAGACATGAATCTGAAAATCCTGACTTAACACTTATTTAAGATCAACATTGGTCCCAAGGTTCCACGTTTTGATCTTGTAAAACCCCTAAATAGAACTGCTGTAGGTGAAACATGCATCTGAACTTCAGAACTTCATTCAGGCTGCAGATGAAGACGGCCCGTTCCTGCCTCATCCCTCCGTAGCACATGGGGTAAGAGGGCTGCATGAACATGCTTGAATGATACTCAATATTATTTGGGATTTTTTATCACGACAATTCATTTCAAGAACTGTACATTACAATATTGTTTGACATTGAAATAAACGGAACGCTACTTTCCCATTCAACTTATGCTGCATTCCTTCTCATCAATCTCACAAATCTGAGCATCAAAATAAAACTGCTTCTTATTTACGTGCATCTCCAAGATGTAAAACGTTCCAATCAAAATGACTCTTCTACGACTGCAGCCGCAACTTTGAGGAACGTTTTTCACAGGCTGCAGCATGAAAGCCGCCCAAACGAGAGGCCAAAACATTGATTTCTATTAGAGGAGCCTTTAAAAGAGTTTATTGTGTTCATTTCATTGTGACAAGCAAACAGCTATGTAGTTATGAAAACCTTCGATCAATTGTGCAGCTCTACAAAAAACTACACAACATATAACCTGTGCTACACATTTTTCAAATAGAGGGATTTGAAAAATTTACAAAATGATTCACTCCTTATGGAGGATTACTGCAGCGCAAATGTGGACTTTGCTGCAGTTTTGTGAAGAAAATATAGGCTAATAAAAATTAAACAATAGAAAATAAATTCCTAAGCAGATTCTAAATATCCAAGTGGAAAACAGATGTGATCAGGATGCCCTATTTTAAACTGAAATGTTACAAACTGGCCCTTCAAACAAAGTCAAGTCAAGTCAAGTCATTTTATTTTGTATAGCCCAAAATCGCAAATTACAAATTTGCCTCAGAGGGCTTTACAGTCTGTACACATACAACATCCTCTGTCCCGAAACCCACACATCGGCACAGGAAAAACTCCCCAAAAAATGAAAAAAACCCTTCCAAGAGGGAAAAAAGGGAAGAAACCTTAGGGAGAACGTCAGAGGAGGGATCCCACTCCCGGGATGGACAGACTACAATGGATGCCATGTGTACAGAATGAACAATGTATAATCATGCAATTCCTATGACAGAAATGATTCAAGTAATTGTGAGTAGTAAGCCGGACCCTGATTCCTTGGGCCTGGGTACCAAGACTCGTACCTGAAAACAGCTCTAGCTGCTCATAATAAAACTATCCACCTCTACAGAACTGATGAAATCATCAAGCACAGGGTGCTGTCAGGGTCTATATCTTTTCAATGAGTCAGGACTGTGAACCGTCATTACCAATCCAATCAAAAAGCACCTCGGAGCCCCAGTAAGACTGAGCTGAGGGTTGATGGGGACACCTGTCCGGTCTCTCGTCTCCTGTGGGCAGGACAGAGAAAACGAGGGCAGAGCGAGCTTATCGACCCAATAATGGCGGTAGCCTAAAAACACCAGCACTGTCCATCATTAGCTGTTAATCTACCTCTCTTGAGGCTGCACTTTAGCAAATCAACAAGACACTGGTCCATCTAGCAGAGACTCTCTCCATCATCCAACCTCAATATTCTCCTCCATCATCACACATTTTATCCCTACACCTTTCCACGTGAAAGATTCTCGCCTGATTCATTCTGAAAAGAGCCCTGTACACAAGCGTAACACACGTGGCGGCTGGCCAATAGAGGGCAATTGGGCGTCGCTCCTTCAGCCCAAAAAGAAAAGATAATATTAAATATTATAAAAATTGGCAATATTTAAGTTTTTGAAATATGGTATGGACCCAATAATATTTGTAAAATAAGATATCTGAGGAAAATATGTGCTTCTGCCGCACGTCCCTGCCTGTCATATGCACAGCCTGTCTTTATGCGCGTTTCAGCTGCGCTAGTGGCAATCTCAAGACTGCCCGCAGGAGGCGGGTCTGAAGCCTAGTTTATGCTTCTGCGTTTTCAGAGCAACGCAAGGACACGCAGACGCAAGAGCCCCTTGCGTGTCCCTTGCGTGCCTTTTCACACCTCCTTGCGTGCTTGCGTGTGTCGATCCATTTTTCTCCCGCAGCGCACAAGGCTGCAATGGGTCTGCTAATTACATCCTTTACGGAGTCTCACGTTTCCGTTAAAACGAAGAATGTTTATGAGAGAACGAATCAGATCGAAGAGCTTTTGTCAGAAGAAATGCATAAATTTGACCACTTCTTACAAGCCGTCATTGGTGGACTATAAGGAAGCGCGGATGGCCTCCGATTCATGGAGGGAGATCTCTGCAAACGTCAGTTTGCCGGTCGAGGGGAACAAAGTTGCCGAGGAAAATACGGGACAAATGTGTCCGTGATGAAAAGAAACAGTGGTGATGCACGGGGCAATAAGGTCTATGATAAATAAATAAACAAACCAACAACTTCCACACACAAAGACGTGACTCTTTAGGTCGCCTTCGACAAAAAACGTTATTCCACCTGTTGTTCTGGCGGGGAATTGCTCTGCAACACACGCAAGACTTTTAGAACCACGACTTTAAACTGATTAAATAAAAAGTACAATACAATAGACTCTGCCTGTGGCAACATTGGTTTTGCCCCAAGCTTGTGTGTTCTCGTCAAAGCTGGTATCCACAGGCGGGGTGACATTCTGGAGGAATTAAGGTGCACAGATTTTATCGCCATTCAAGCAGACGAGACGACTGTCATACAGTATACATTGTAACACACTGATTATTTTATATATATTTATATTATACTGAATTACCTGTGAGGGTGACACAAATAAGACACAAGTAAGTGGTAATAAATAAGACTGTCAAAATGTTATTTAGAGCTTTTTTTCATCAAGAAGTAATGTGTTTTTAATACCAGTTTTTCCATAAAATCCACCTGGAATGTTTGCTGAAATTGATTTGATTCCCCTACACTTACATTGGCCCTGAACCTCAGCATTAGATGTACAGGAATCTAACTCGGCGTTGTCTGAGTCACAAAGAAGGAACTCGCAAACTGCACCTGCACTTTGTGAATGGCGGTGGGACGATGACTCACCAGAGCGAGCAGAACGAGGCCCGCCAGTAACCATCCTCTTTACCTGTCTGCCCATATCTGACACACACACACACACACACACACACACACACATACATCTTTTAAAAAGTCTCTGTAGTCTGGGATGCACAGTTTGTGTAACCAGCGTTTTGAGGAAACCTTTCCAAAAGTTCCTTTAGTCCAGTTAGTTTCCTGGTAGCCCCCCCGCCGCCCTCCTCCCAATAGTAATTACATGAAAACAACCACTGTGTCTCTCCTCAGCTTCCCGTAGGCCTTAGAAACAACTCCTCAATCTGTCTGTAGTTTGTAGGGTGTCAGCTGGCAGAACAGCGATCACCTCCTCAAACAGGACTCAGCTGAGGCCAACGTGAAGGTTACGCAACACAACTTCATGAGTCAGCACAGACACACACATACACAGGACAGTGTGCACACGGAGAAGAGACGTGCATCATAAAAAAAACATCATCATGTGAAAAATGAAGACTAAGCTATTCAAGCCTTATCCCAAAATGGATGTGCTCCAAAATCTTCATGTATTACGTAGTTTTTGACCAGTAAATGGGAATTCTTAAATTGTACATAACATATATTACACGGCCGAATCAATCAGCGATGGGGTCATTTGGTCTGACATATGGGTTAGGCTTCAATAGAGACGTGCTTATTGCATATTTTTTTTGCGTATTTTTAACATCTTGTTGTTCTTTTTGGACAGTGGGAGTGATGGGTAACAGCGGAGGGCAGTGCCAAACTGTCCCAGTGCGTGGCGATCAATGGAGGAGATCAGAAAACAAAGCTCTGCTTGGGAACTCTTATACTGCTGGCAACATATGCTGAGCTCAGCCCAACAAGCTCCTTGACGTGCGGGTCAGTCACACATGACGAGCAACAATAAAATGGCCGCACTGGAAGATAGTGTCTGTGTGTCGGTATTATTCACCAAGACGAACGAGAGATAAGCAAACAGCAGACGATAATAAGGATCACAAACATTTTGGCAGATATCAAAATCGGTGCTCAAGAACCTTCAGTAAGATGTTTGTTCCCTGAGCTCTAAGAGTATTAAGAGGATAACACAGTATTTCAACTGCTAGATATCTCCATGAACCTTCTCCTTGCTTACATTACACCAAATATGTTTTTGTAGCACACGTATTCTAAAACTGTGTGTTTAAAAATTCAAATGAAGAAATATGTGATAATTTGTATGCATGCCTGGAAAGCAAATCCAAACCCTGGACGAAGGCAGGTTTAAAAGGCTGACAGGGATCTATACAGTACTGGTCGCACTGGTGGTGCTGATAGCACTGGTGGTACCGGTCGCACTGGTGGTGCTGATAGCACTGGTGGTACCGGTCGCACTGGTGGTACTGGTCGCACTGGTGGTACTGGTCGCAGTGGGAGCGAGGTGAGGGAGCTTACAAAATAAACGCAAAGCTCCACGCTAACTCCATACTTTGGAAGTACTACTGTTGTTTTCAATGAAGCAAACCGAAATCAGCACCATTGGTTTTGTTTGATGCATCTCTTGATGTTTGACAGGCTGCTAGCTTGTAGAGTTAGCATGTTAGCATGTAGCGTACTGCAGTCTGCAGTGAGTGTGTCTCATTTTGGCTTTTTAATGAGACTGGCTTCATGATTTGTCGCTGTAGACCATGGAATGTCACTTTTAGGGCCATTTCATAACACAAATAGAGCAACTTGTTTGGCCGGGATGGGGAGGGAGTGATGTGTCAAAACAGTGTGTTTAGTGTAACATAGAGGCGACCTCTATATCTTTTTCCTTTACAGATATTATCAGAGGCACCCTTGGTTTTTATTTCTTTTTAACACTCCTGGCTTTGCCAAAAACATTTAAAGAAGGAAAAGGATCTGCTGCATTCACAGTAATTCTCTAATCATGTTTAGGAACATGTTTCCTGTTGTTTTGCTAAATACTAATTCATTGGAAACTGTGTTGCATGTTTTTTTTGTCCTATTGATGTTTTATCCTATTGTCGAGGAGCCTTTTTAGGGGTAAAAAGACGTCCTATTTAGTCCACATTTTACTGGGACCTACAATACTGGACACATCTGAGGACATTGCAGGCGGTTTATTAAGGATTTGTAATGACAAATGCTAATATTAGTATAAAAAACAGGGTGAACAAACAACTGACGTGTTAAATATGGTCTCCGTGTGAATGAAGTTAAATCACACTCTAAATTCCCGTTTTAACGTATTTTCGCCGGTGACGCATCGTTCATCGTTTTAGTAAATGTCTTTTAAACAAAACAAACACGTATCGTGTGGCAGCACGCACGTCGTGAGAGACGGAGGCCATGGCATCCTCCTCCTCCTCCTCCTCCTCCTCCAGCCAGCCTCCATTTTACGACCATGCAAACCGGAGACATGAATATCGGGGAGGAGAAGCAGGCGGAGAGAGGAAGCCCATCGGGCGACCTTAACGAGCACAAAGACCAACGGGATCGAACGAAACCGATGTGCGTAGTGATGAAGACGGCGAGAGAAAAACGCCCCGCCAACGGATCACGCGCACACGCACAAGAAACGCGAGCCTTTTCAGACCCGAATAGATGCTAAAAACGCACGATGCTCTTCTACCGCCAGAAGAACGTCAAAATGCGGGTTGTTTTGAACGTCCCGGTGACTTAGCATCTCCATCTCCTCAGAAGAAACACGAGACGCAGATGACCGCCAGCAATCAACGCGTCACAAACTGAGCTGAAGGTGTTTTTACCTGGACACGAGCAGCTGGCTGTTCAGTGATGATGCTCCTATCTCCTCTCTGATCCACAGCAGGAACAACACTGACTGGTGCTCTCCCTCCCTCTCTCTCTCTCTCTCTCTCGCCCTCTCACTCGCCTCCTCTCTCGCCCTCTCTCTCTCTCTCTCTCTCTCTCCTCCTCTCTCGCCCTCTCTCTCTCTCATAGATCGTGGTTCTATCTGGACCGTGGTCCTGCCTGATATCCCCTGCTAGTGTTAGTAATAGTTATCATTAGTAGTCACATTATTATAGCTAAAAACATCACTTCTCTTAATCGTTGTTGATTTACTATATCCTCTGTTGCTGTTATTATTAGTAGTATTTCTGTCATATTTATTTCACGTGTTGTATATCTTTTACATTCATTCATTCTGTACACAGGACATCCATTGCATCCCCTTCTCCCCCTTATGAACCATAAACTAATCAGAATATGATGTGATGAACCAATCTGAACCTGAACCGTCTCTCAGTGGAGATTACAGAGAGGAAAACTATAGTGAAGTGCACAAGAAGGCCTGTCAAATAGAACGTTATTTGGAGGTACTGGTTGGCAGGCAGTAGAGAAGGTAAAGGCATTTGCTGCTCTGGTGGCCTCCATTCAGACCAAAAAGGTGAAGCTGAATGAGCTTTTGGGGAAGCAGCAGAGTGACAGGCGGTAGCTGCCACACTGACAGGGCAGAGCGGATACCAGTGTAGTATTAGGATCGCTTTCAGGTTCACACCAATCCCCCTCACACCGTGCCGTTGTTTATGAGCCCCAGGAGGTTGGGGTGTTGGTGGATTATGGGGGAGGGTAGGCGACCAATAGCTTTTGTGTATCAGTTTGTTTGTCGTGGACTTGATGTCCAATTTGCTTCAGGGAACTGGGATAGTTGGATACAATTGCAGACTTTACAGATAATGCAGGTCAAGATGTGGCTTGTGAGTCTACTGCTTTACCTCGTAGATCTGGTCATCATTAGTGAAATGCAATGTTGTCTTATAAAATACCTCAATTTCTAGATGTCGTAAAAAATGTTAGAGTCAGAAGCGGTTTATTGACGTAGTACGTTACACATACAATTCATTTGGCTTGGTAATTGGTGCATAATAATAATAAGTGCAATGGTGTATTGTTTCCTGCTTTTTTTTAAACCAATACAGAACATTATAATTGCATATTTACTACAACGGTGGAATATCTTTGCAGGACCTCCAAGGTGGGATTGATGCCATGAGAGTGTTTATATACAGTTTACTGACAGAAGAGCCTTTAGAAAGAGGCATACATGATGGATTAGACTGTACAGCGTCCTCTGGTGGCCACAGTTTACAACAGCAATTTATCACATTTTGTAACTCCCAGAGACAGTGATGGGGAAATAGTAAATGAAGAAAGAGTCATGGTATTGTTATTGGTATTAGTAGATGATTTCATTATAACATTTAATATAATAGAAAAAAACGTGTAGCATGGGTATACCATTATATACACAGACTATGACATAATATAGATTTAAACACCATTTAAATGTACTGTAAGGCTGTTATGTTTGATAGTGGGTTGCAATGATTTTTTGATACAGGTGATGTAAGTGAAGACATGGGGCATTTTGCCATAAACCAACATGGCACTTCTGTGTCGCAATCGAAGGTCAGACTCACTCTTGCTCCTGATTGGGCTGGACGCTGTACGCCCCGCCCACCCCATCTCCATGTGGCCTCTCGCAGTGACGGCTCTGGCCTTTCGCTGATCAGAGAGCTCCTCCTGCCTGTCGCTCAAACCGGCCCCAGCCAATCAAAGACTTGTCCTTTTCACATTGCATTCACCGGCGAGTCCTGTGCGACAATCCAACATGTCGGCTACGCCTGTGTTCCCCATGTGTGTGCGAGCGAGTCGGGGCCTCCTCCGGCTCAGGAGTGGGGCCTCTTCCATGTCTGTGGGGGACATTGTCCGGACTCTCTCCACTGACAACCCGCCGGCAGGAACGAGCGGTGCGACGGGCGGACTGGCTCAGGCTATCCTCCAGCAGAGACTCCAGCAGCAGAGCAAGAGTCAGGTGGGACGGCGAGCCTGCTTGTGTGCGCTTGATTTGTTTAACTTGTCAGCAGTGTTGGCGGGGAGAGCGAACTCACTGCAATTCTTAGGCGTAAAACCCCGCCCGGACAAGATGTTAGTGTGGCTCAAATGAGAGCCACTTTTCTTACATTTCCAGCTTCAAGTTTAAGCTAAAAGCTGATTTACACCTACCAATTTCAAACAGAGAGCGGCAGGCTTCAGTGACTATATATTATCATATTACATGTCACTATGAATGTATACTTCATAGATATTACATATCCGCTCCACATGCGTGTTTGCTGAATGAATGGACCTGACATTAGGGAAGCTAACAGGTTACCTAGCTAATGTTAGCATGCGTTTACTGTTACTGGTGGTTCGGCTGTAACGCCTGAGGGAGAGGGGGGGGGGGTCACCGCATTAGTAACAGGCTTACCCCGAGACAGTACGTCGGAGTACGTTTTCCAACAAGCCAACGTCAATCGCATTAGGTGGGCTCTTGCCCTGGTAAGCTATGACCATTAGCATTTAATTAGTTAGCATCAGCCCGCCTGTGTCACATCTCGGGGCTCATCGCGCTCTGTAGGGTCACTCGCACTGAACGTCTTTGACAAACCGTCCTTTTTTTTAGCTGCAGCAGCCGTTTGAGACGCTCACTGTGGTGACAAGCCAAGGTTTGTTTGGTTTGAAGGTCAGAACAGACCATTCCCCCTTCCCCTGTCCTCTCCTCCCCCTGTCCTCCTCCCCGCGATCAGTTAAACCTCCCCGAAAGTGCAGTTTAGCGGCGCACTCAGTGTGGCTGACCAAGTTATTCAGGTTTCTGAGATTAGATTAGATTTTCACCTAAATTGTCATTTCTGTCCATTTCAAATTGCTAGTGGACAACCTATTTTATTTAATCGAACATCAATGGTTCTATATCAGTGTTCATTTTGCTTCACTAAATAATTACATTTTAAGTGCATGTATATATCCTACAAACCCAAATTAAGGGACTGAAAAGATTTAAAACGGTATTAACTTGACCCCCATCCACCAATCTTTTTTTTTTTTTCTAGTCCTGAAAGTGTCCACCTGTCATCACCGAACATCCACAGTGCAGCTGGGCTGTTACTATTTAGAATTAGTCCGTTTTTCTTTGGGCCCCCAGCAGTGTCCTCTTTGTTAAATCCAAGAAGTTTGAACTTTGATTTGTGGGCCGCAGTGAGAACAACCACGTGCCAGGTACTTTCCCCACCTATTGTGGTTGATTTTAGTTTTCTTTATTCTACCAGGGGCAGCCTCCTCCTGAAGAAGGGGAGGGCGAGAAGAAGGGAGAGCACACGGAGGACAAGAAGCAGAAGGAGAACACTGCCTATGCTAAGAAGATGGTGCTTCGGCTGGCGGGACTCTTTGGGGTCGGCGGGGCGGTCGGCATGGTCTACCTATTCGGTGAGTGCCACAACGTTTGAGCGTCTGATGCTACTAATAAATATTTCCAGTACTGAGCACTCCACCTTAGGTAGTCCTCTGCTAGTCAAACAATATTTGGAATAATGAGACCTACAGTTTCCCAGAGCCCTGATGGACATATTCGGATGTCTGTTTTATATCATAATAACCAAGGTTGGGCCTGTTGCGATAATCAATATATTGATTTATGTCTTTGTCCAAAGCGGAGGGGGGGCTTAGACAGCGTACAGACACACAGACCTTGCGGACATCCACAGGCGAAGAGAAGCCGAGAACCCACTTTGTTATGAAGAGTTCTTTTTTGTGAAGTCTACAGCCGAGCAAATTAGGATGAAAGAGTCCAAATGGATTTGGTTTTGAAGCCGCAATCTTCAGCTCCGGTGTGGGAAAATTTTGGCTTTAAGCTGAATGATTAATTGTAATAATGTAATCTCTGGCATAAAATCTGACAGCCCTAACCAGAGTAATTTTTTGTCAATATATGAAGAGAACAGTGTTCATTTTGGCAGCTATTTTTGATTTAGTCTTAGTCTTTAGACGAAAATGCATATTAGTTTAGTCACATTTAGTCATTTTAATCCTTCTTAGTTTTAGTCGACGAAAACTAGACTAAAATGTAATTAGCTTTAGTCTAGTTTTAGTCCCATTTATTAGCCATATTAAACTCCTTTTCTTCCCTTCTCAGGCCCAGGGACCCCCTGTGTTGTGTCTACAGCTGCATAATAGTCCAGCTTGCAGTACTTGGTTGTCCATTAGATGTCCCTCCTAGGACAGGTCTATAGCAGGCGTCGGCAAACTTTTTGACTCGTTGTAAAATGTGACGAGGAGCCGGGCCAAGAACAAATGGTTGAAGTGTTTGTGTGAGCTGATATAAATGACATGTGAAAAATCTTTACATGAAAGGATTTGGATTTTAACAAATAGCAAAGCATTTATTTGCAAGGCCATTTAACAAATTGGCAAAAGTGTAACAACTTCATGAGGACCAGGGACCTAAACGCAACACTTTGTTGTCTTTGTCTGTTTACTTGCAATGCTTTCGCCATGGCCACCGGAAACTTCATGGTCCTTTATTGTTTCCACTGTGAAATTGCTTGTCCCAACAAAAGAGACCCCTTAACATCCTACAATCGTTGCAATACATTATTTTCTTGGCTGCATCATAAACCAGCCATTCTAGACTGGACCCCCACTTTTCATTCAACAGTCTTTTCTTTCTCTTTGTTTATTTTCTGGTTTCATGACCAGTTCTTCTCTCTTGTGTCCTGCGGGTTTTCCTCCACCTGCTGTGCCGCCACGTTCTTCACCTGCACTGCGCACTTCTATCAAAAGGATCCACCTGTCAATTGTGTGGCGCCTCTATGTTGCTTAGTAACGAACGTACGGTGGCCGAGACGGTTTAACACCGTCTTCTCACGATCTGGCGCGTGAACTATAGTTGAAATGCGTGAACCTGCAATGAGTTTATTATGTTAGACGTGTTTGGAGAAGCCTGTAACGGAGCGTCTCATCCAGCCGAGGAAACGCTGCCTGCCGTCGCCAGAGAACAGAGCAGAAAGGTCCGACAGTCTGTTAAACGGGTCTTCATGTTTCTGTGAAGCAGCGCGGCTTCAGCCTGCTAACAGGCAGCTAAACCGAGACAGCTGAGCTAAACTAAGGAAGCGCACGTTCAAACTCGCCGAAGCGTAAAAAAGTCGTCGCGGTCCGTAGTCGGTGCACAAGAACCACCGATGTGAGCGTTCTGGGTTCGTGGATGACGTCATCATGACGCGTTAATAACCGCCGTACTTTGCCTGTCTGTTGTCTGTTAGCTTCGTGCGAATTTAAGGGGGGAAAAGTATTGTGACTTCGTCAACCACCAACATTTTCATCTCGTCTTCTCGTTAACGAAAGTTAGAATATATTTACTCATTTTTATTTTTTAAGATTGTTTTCGTCACGTCTTAGTCTCGTCTTAGTCATGGAAAAAAGGTCGCTAACGAAAAATTTTCGGCATAGTTTTCGTCGATGAAATCAACACTGGAAGAGAAACGCTTCCCAGCTTCAATTTTAATATTTGAAGTACTACTAAAATATGTTTTAAAAATGTAACAAAGCTATTCTTATTATTAGTATTATTATAAATAAAAACACATGTTTTTTTATAGTGTATAAAGCAATTAACTCAAAAGAAACAAGGGACCACTCAATTTGTGTCTGGGGTGCAGTTGGGGGGGTCTTCCAATGTCTTTATCCTCAAATGGCCCTGATAGAAAAACGTTTGGGAACCACTGATGAGTAAAACATTTCTGTGATTGGTTTCCCGCCATGCGCTCCTGTTTAGAGGGACGGCCCACAGAGGGGTGGAGCTATCCGCTGTCAGTCAGCAGCAAGCAGCTAGTCTTCAGAGAAGAGTCCGACGGAGAACAGTAACGAGGCTCAAACCATCCGTTATTTAGGCAGCAAACACACAAGTGGAGTTAAGTCTGCAGTCGAAGGGGCTGCTGAGGGAGAACGTGTCCTCCACAGAAAAGCATGTGAGATGTGAATAGGCGGCCTGTGAAAGCAGTGTTTTTTTTGGAGCTTGACTTTCAAGCAAGGATTTCTCTTGACGAACGAGTAGTAAGTGATGTGCTTTAGAGGGAGACCCAAAAGGGGGGAGACGGACAGGCAGCCCCTCCCCCTGCAAGTCTCCCCCTTTTAGCTTTAAGTCTTCACAGAACAGCAAGTTAGTTTTCTTTTATTTTGAGAGAAAGCAACTTTGGATTTGCGGTTTTCTCTGACGTTTACTTTGGCGTTTAAAAAAAATTCTTATTACTCAAATGAAGGTATTGGCATGACGGGGATGGAGTTACATTTTAAATTGTCATTCCTTTCTTGGAAGTTTGAGATCTAGCATCTACAATCTTTCAACTATTCCCTTCTCCCGCTTCTTTCCTCATATTATTGGTTTTCTGGAATCATGAATGTGGATCATTTTGTCGCACAAGTGGAATACTGAACTGGGATCTATTTTTGTTTTGTAATGATTTGGGGTGTTGTCTTGATTGAGCTGTTATTTGTAGTATTATTATTATACCCACACCTGTAAATATTCAAGCATCTTTCCGCTTTCGTGCAGGCTCCTTTATACATTCATAAAACTGCAGAAACAATTCATTATCAGTGAATAGTGTTAAACTTTAACATTTTAGAAAATATATGAAAGTGTACATTGAAAGTTTGTCTGAGCAATGGTCCAAAAAATCATATATATTATATCTAACATTTTAGGAGTAGTATAATTATTTTGGCCATGTTTGCTTGAATATATTCCTTAAGTTAGTATCAGCCTTAAGATTCGTCTGTCTGTGGAATCACAATAAAAATATCAACCCTGAAGGTTATTTGATGTCACTTCGAAACCACTCACTGTTTTATTTTCAGTGACCTTAAACTGTTGTTCTCTCCTTCCTTTAGGCACCAATTCAGTGGACGAGCAAGGAAACATGGTGAGTTATTTCCCCCCCCCACACACACACACACACACACACACACACACACACACACACACACACACACGCACACACTGTTTTAAGGCTCGGGGGATTGGGATGCTTGTGTCTGCGCGAGCTCCGATGGGACCCTCCCAAGCACCCAGCTGGTGTTGTGGGTCACGTGGTCTGTGTTTTGCGCACCTTGCGTGTGGGTGGTGCCCTTCCTGTCGCACGGCGACACCGTAAAGGACACACTTCACAGGCAGCTGTGACGTGTGTCCCGTTCATCCAGAGGTGTGTGTGTGTGTGTGTGTGTGTGTGTGTGTGTGTGTGTGTGTGTGTGTGTGTGTGTGTGTGTGAAGGGAGCCGTCAGCGCGGGAGAGCGAGGGGCACACTTCTCTCACCGCCGGTCCCAGTTGTGAGGCGGGACACTTGACGGGTAACTGAGAAACGGCGTCAGTTTGGGCTGTGAGTTTGGGGAAGTCGGGATCATCAAAGTGCCCATTTATCCCAATTCACATGCCAATGGCCGGTAACTCCACGCTGTCTAATGGACAGATGCTGAGCAAAGTGTCGTCACACAATCAACACAGTCTGAAACTCCTCTGTCGGCTCAGCTTGCACACGCAGTGACTGACCTCGAGCTATATCGGTCAGTCAGAGTCCATCACGCAAAGTACGTAGCCAAGAAGGGTTTCATTTATAAAGGACTTATTCCATTAAATGAAGTAGAAATGAAAATAATTATGTTCCTAAATTTGTAATTAAAACACTGAGAAATTTTTGGCAGTATGTTCATATCAGAAAATGATCTTTTCTCAAAGTCTTCATCTTTGTGACACATGAAGATGCCCCTGACAGGGAGCAAGCGGCTCTTTTGAGATTAGTTTGTATTGAAAATGTTTCCATTTCTTTTCATCCATACCAGCAGTCCATCCAGATGTTAATGCTTCCTTTGTGTAGAGGGCAGCCTGAGCAGCTCACAGCTGTCTGAGACGACCTGCTGCCAGAGGTGTCGGCACGGGAACACAGGCCACTTGAAAAGGCACACTTCCCTCATTGGGCTCATTTTGTTGGAACCAAAGAGTATCCCAACAGTAATGGACATTTGCATGCAAGCAGGACAAAGCATCATGTTATTCATACGTCCAAATGTATTTTTCCTCAAAACTCAGCACTTTGTTTTGCGGACGCTCTTTAGTGCCAATCAGACCCAACTTTTCCGCTTTGGTATTGGCCAAACTCCCCGTATGGTGCTGTGAGGTGTGGACGTGGGAAAGCTGGACAGTCCTTTTGTCGTCCTTTTAGTTTGGGGATGGTGGGGCCGCTGCCGCCTTACTTCAAAGAGCAGAGCACACTTCTCCCACCTGGACATCCTGTCAGGAGCCTCCAGCTCAGACGACACACTTCTTCATGTCAGGGTTTTAGGGGGCAGGACACACTTATCACCCCCCCCTTCCTGAGACTTTCCCATCACGGGACCGGGGGCGGTGTGGGAACTCAAGAGTCTTGAGATTTACAGATCCCATATCAGGTTTTGTTAAACAATATCATCAATGATATTGTTCTTCCCTTGGATGTTTAATTACAGCAGCACTACATTTATACATTTCAACCACACTGACGTCTGTAAACGTCAACATTTCTAAATTTGTGTTTTTCCCCCATTACATAATTCTAATGATTCAGAAGTTTGTATGGTTTAAACAGATCTTGTAATCAGAAATGTAATGACCTATTCCAATCCAGATGGTAATTCATCTGTAGTACAGTGATCTCCCACTCATTTTACAGGAATAGGCCGTTTCTGATGTATCCGCCTCGTACATTTTCTGGGAAATGATTTGACTAAATATTTACGGCTGACGTTCTCCTTCCTTCGTCGGAGTCCGTCATCACATTAAGACAATAAACAAGGCACGCACCGCCCCCTGGAATGTCAACAATTTTGTTTTTACAATGACACAACACACACAAATCCCGACAGCTTCTAGGCATGTTGGATCTGCACTCTGTGCCGACTGAAGCACATATCTAGGTGTTAGAGTATTTCAGTAGTTTAGTGTCTTCTGTGCCCGGTGTGCGAGAGACCTGCTTCCCTCCTCGTCCCAAGCTGTCGTGGAGGTTAAAGAGGCGTGTTTTACTGCCCCCAGCCCCCCCCGTCTGTTAGCATCTGCTTCTCTCCTCATTGCTGACGAGAGGTAGTTTAAGCAGCACTCTCATGGCTTCATTCTGTAAATGATGTGATTGGAGATGCTGACTGCAGCTGGCAGTCGTCCTGCCGTCGGTACCAGCACAGTAACAGCTGCTGTAGCAAACTCATTTTAGTCCCCTAAGGAGACAGATTTTAGTGCGGCTACACAGGTGACAACATTTATAAGCCATCGTGTTTCCTTTCGAGCGGTGAGCAACATTTGTCTTGAATAGTTACATTTCTAGTGGGTCACTTAATTAGGGACAGAAATCTGTCCTATAGAAACTTTGAGATGTGTCCCATATAAAGTACAGATATATCTGTATGTGCACATCTGGTTTGTGGCCACCTGGTGGAGCCAGACACCATGTCTGTGTGCTGAGGCCCAGAGTCTCCTTGTTTTCCTTCTCACCTTCCCTCATCAACCTCTTCTTCATCCCCTATTTCTTTATACTTACGTACTCTTTCACAATGTCGCCTCTTTCATTTATTTTTCCACTCTGCAAAAATGATTATTTTACCTTTTGAATATTCAATAATATGATCCATCACTTGTTTGTTGTATGAAATGTCAGTGTGCCCTCCAGCCTCTGATTGTTAGAGAAGGGACGGTTGCTCACACAAAAACTCTTGAGTGATCACACCACACACGCTGCCTGTTCTTGATGTGATGCCAACATGTTTACTGTCAACACAAACACTGGTTTATTGATGTGATGCGTGCTCATGATTCTGACCACCTTTCTCACCTTCTGCCTCCCTGACAGATTCCAGATGAGTTTGACAGAGGTGAGTTTGAACTGTTTGAACTCACTTAACGGTTTGTGTGCGTACAAGTTCCCTCCATTTCCTTTTTTCATAACTAGACTTGTTTAAGCAAAACTAACCCATAGTGAATGGGTCATGTGGCTGTGTTGACATTATTCCTCTCAGAGTTTTTATCTCAGCAGAGGTTGTTCATGTTTTATTTCTTCTACTTTATTTCGGTTTCGGTCCACCGGTATTTAGTAGAAACCCTTTGTATTATTTTACACATACAGGAACTTGTTCTCTGCATTTAACCCATCCCACACAGTGGGCCGTAAAGGCGCCCGGGGAGCAGTTAGGGGTTAGGTGTCTTGATTAGATTTAGCTTATTTATCCTGTCAGGAGAGACCCAGGAGAGGGTGCAGGTCAGAGGTCACCCTTAAAATGACATCATCAAAGTTATTATGAAATATTTCAATTGTGAACTACTCTCCACACATTGATTGCTGATATTGGAGGCTGAACATAACATCTTTTAACAATTAAAACTTTTTGGATCTCCTTGTCATTCAAGTTGCATTCTTAATTGAACCCCCGTCATTTGTAGTCTGAAAATCCGCCGGATTACTTTAAACCAGGAAGCAGTTTGTTACAATTATACCAAAATGCTGATTTTCTTATTAAGTTCAGGGTTTGAACGCGCGCTCTCTGTCCGCAGTCTCTCAAATGTTTAGCATGTACACTAGCAGTCGTGAACCAGCTGTGGTGCTTTTAAGAACTGACAAACCCTGGTGATGAAACATCCTGTTTTGTTGAGCTGAACTTCTCCCATCAATCCGCTGCAGTCTGACTGTTGCTAAACAAGTTGTGATGGCCTGCTGCTAACATTCATTTCATCAATACGTCTCCTTCCCCCCCTGAGGGGCAGTCTGCCTCCTGCTTGCACGTATCCTTCCTCCTGAATCCACCCATCATTAAGTAGTCCCCGAGGTCCACTCTGTGCTCCTCTGAACACCAAACTCCCATTTATTCATCCCTCCCCCTGAGTCTAAGTTAATTACGTCTACTAGTCCGCCTGTCCATCTGTCTCCGTCACCGCTTTCTGGCTCCATCAAAGTCCTCGCTGGATAAACCTGCTGCATTGGTCCAGTAAAGAGCCAAATCCAGGCCAAAGGTTTTGATAAACAAATGAACTTGAAAGTTAAAGTATTTGGTCTCTTTGGAACTTTGAGGAATACAGCAATGTATTCAAAATAAAAATATGTGGATGAAAGTATTTTTGGCTTGAATATAGTTTTGACTCAGTTCTATCATTTATTGGAATAAAATATATATTTTTTCATATTCGTTGTATCATTTTTTTTTCTCATATTTTCAGATTCAAATCTTATATTTTCAAGTTTTAAATATTTTTTTCACTTTCAGACTTTAGGGCTTGATGTCACGTAGGGTGCAGGGCATCAACTCATAGGGGCGTGTACTCATGAGTGACAACTCAACAAATAAGGACGAAAACATTCCTCAACCATGTTGCCTTCAGGAAACGTAGTCACAGCGAGCCCTAATGAATCAACACTTTGTAAACACTATTTTTAGGATTGGAACCATTGATGCCAGTGACAAAGTTCTTTTTAGCAAATTGTTTTTGTCAAACTCAGATTGTACCGTTTATCAACCACACATGAACTGTGAACGCAGCGCAGCCTCCGTGTGATGACGTTCGGTAAACTCTGAAAGATATTCACCGATTCGGACTTACCGGTTCAATAACTGGTCAGCGGAGCGTTGTTAAAACACAAACGACAATTCTCTCCGTAACCGTAGTAATGTCGCTTTGCACACGGCCCCTGCGCACTTGTCTCACAGGTGGCTGCCCATCAAGACCAATGTGATTCGTCCAGCTCCCAGACCAGTCCGTATTGGTAACATGATTAGGGCTGTAGCTGATTGTCGACTACGCTTACAGAGAGGTGTCGTTTGTGTTTTAACAATGCTTCGCTGACCAGCTCTTAAACCGGGAAGTCCCAATCTGTCCTCAGGCTTATCTGTTAAACTGTCACTCATGATTACACGCCCCTCTCAGTTGATGCCCCGCCCCCTACGCCACGTCAGGGTGAAAAGTCTGAATGTGGGAAAAAATATCCGGGTGTAAAAAAAAAAAAAAAATTTGAAAGTGAAAAGATTTGAATCTGAATATATAAAATCTGCAACTGAAAAATGTAATTCAGCGAATATAAAAAAATATATATATATAGGTGAAGAATGAAAATATATTTTATTTTAAAAAATTATAGATGATTCAACTACATTCAATTACTTTTCGTCCACTTGTTTTTATTTTGAACATGTATTTTCTGATGTTCAAGACTAAAAACTTTCAGATTTGTTTGAAATGATCAGAACTTTTGGCCCGAGTTTGGTTCTATTCGAGGGGCTGAAAGTAAACGCCAGGAAAAGTGAGTGAGGTGTGGTCAGGACCGAGCGGGGAGCATGGAGCGATGTGTGGATAAATGGATGCACAGCTGGCTTAACAGATTGATTTGTAGACAGAAGGTAGGGACGTGGACCTCGGGAGCTCCGCGGTATTGACGAATGGATTCTTGTTATCAGCAGGCAATTGGAATTAATTTAAGAGCAGAGTTGATCAATCCGATTTAAACACCACATATGTTTCTCACGCACAGTGTGTATTGTTTCCACGCAATCTAAAGTTCCCTCCCACGCAGTAGTTGAGTTTGACGCGGTCCAACGCGCACCGTCCCGCTGACCCAAATACTCACTGAAGCACCAAATGGGGATTAATTCCCCGCTGAAAATAGTCTCCAAAAACTTTTCCCCTGTTTGTTTGATTCTAAACTGCTGTGACCAGCTGTGTTTGGAACTACTGAAACTATGTGAGTCTTCATCTACCGCCAAATTCTTCGGTTCAGCTTCATGGTTGTTTACGTTTGCTTTTACATGAAATGTCGTTTAGCTGACGTTAAGCGCTAGCAGACACGTATCGTCTGTTTGTTAGAACTTAAACATTACTGTGTTTTTGTTGCTACACCAGACTCATTACAGTACTCACCTTAATGCTAAAGTAACGTAGACGAAGCTCTGCTGTTCATGGAGTGTTCTGGAACTGTAGCATGAAATCAGCTAGGAGCTAGCAGGTAGCTAGCTAGCCAGTCATCCCCTAATGAGTCTAATTCAGGAACCTAGTATTTCGTCTTCACACTCCATATATAGATGGATAATTGAGTCTGCTTCACCGGATTTAGTCTGCAATTGATTTAGTCTTTCCAGAATAGAGGGGAGGTTCATGTGCTGTGAACAGAATGCTACTCTGGCTCCTGGAGATGAGCCATCATGTTTTAGTCCATTGGGTTCTCAGGGGCCAGGGCCAAATATTCCCAGATGAGCTTAAGGAGCAGGGTAAAAGGTCATGATCCCTGAGCGGTATAGAAGAGGAGGAGAAAACAAGGGAGGTGAAGGAGCAAAGATTATTCATCTTGTTTTCTCATCGTCTTCTATACCTCTGTTTGCTCCAGTCTCACCTGTAAACTCTCCACGTGGGTTCTTCCTCCACGGCATCGCATCCTTCACCCTCCTCTTCCTGTTCTCTCATATTCCTACCTACCTTCCCACCTATTCACTTCCTACCCTCCATTGGATCTTCCCCCTTTCTCTACCTCCAGTATAGCCGGTAGCTCTAGGAGCAGCAGGCGGTGGGCAGAGGGCTGGTTGATGGAGGCCTTGATGAATGAATGGGTCAAATGGGAGATGTTTGACTTACCAAGTAGCGGCATTTCATGTGCATGATGCAAAAGAGCGTCTGATACCATAGCAACCAGGAAAGATAACACCTCGTCAACACGCACATCCCCACACACAAAGCTCTCCCCTTGGATTTTCTGACCTGCATAACGACCTTTGATCCTCACAGGCCAACTATGATCTGCTAGTGTGTGTTCAATGAATACACACACACACCTCAACATATAGCACACAGAAAAATATTATGATAATTATAATGTTTGTCCTAAATATGCAGGAGCCGCTGCCTAAAGTGTGTTGGACGGGAGCGCTTGTGCATGATCTGAATGAGTGTATTTGGTGGTTAACACAAAGTAAATGTGGAGCTGTGCACCTGCTCGCCACTGCTGCTCTGACATGAGCACGCGCTCTCCTCCCTAGAGGCCCGGTGGCCTGGACGCACATTAAAGAGGCCGTTTGTAGCGGATAGAACACAGCCGAGGGGGAGGGGAGGGGGGGGGTAGTTGTGAAGCAGATGCTGAGCCTGACTGCAGCTTTTGTTTGGGCCGAAGGCCCCTCCGTCCCTCGCTCCACACCTAGTGTCTCTCTCTTTATTTCTTCCCTTGTTTCTCTCCTCCTCTCAACTCTTGTCTTCCTTATGTTTTCCCCATCCTCTTACTTTCTTCTTTCAGACCTTTCCGTCTGTCCTGCCATTCCTTCTTTCAATCCTCCTTGTTGTTCCTTCTTCTGTCCTTGCGTCCTTTCCTCTAGCACTTACTCCTTAGTTAATTTTTCTTTTCAATCTTTCATTTTCTTACCCACGGTCTGTCCCCTCCTATCCTTCCTTTTCTTTGTCCTCCATTCTTTACTTTCTTTTTCTATATTCCCACCACTCCACCCTTCTCCTCCAGTCTATGCTGCAACAGGAAGAGAGTGTCAACACTCTTCCTGTTTATGCTTCCCATTTCTCCTAATTATTTTGCACAGCTCCTCCCTCCTTTATACTTTCTCCCTCCCTTCTTATCCGGCCACAGTGAAATTGTTTATAGCCACTCTGCTTTTTTCTATTTTTCCACCCTCCAACACATCTGAACACTTAAGAATTCCTCACTTTAAAATATCCGGCACTCCTTCCAAACAACAACAACGTTAAAGGATTGTTTATTTTAAGAATTCTTTAAATTCCTGTAGCCTTCTCCCCTGACCTTCGCCATCTGCTTCTACTTGATTTAGCATTTTTATTTGCCAGAGAATCGCTTATTCCAACTGCTGTTGGTCCCGGGGCTTCCTGTTTGCCAAAGCATTTTCTTCTGACATGGTTGTTGAGTGTCGCTCGTTGATTGTGGACTAATGGTCACCACTGATAATCCATCTATATGGGATATCTGTCATTTGTCAGACTCCAGCTTTAAGAACTTTGTAAAAGCAAAAGAAATCTGGCACCACTTATTCTTTGTAGTTTTTGTTTTGTCTTTCTCGGATACATTGTAGGTCTTTTTGGTACTTGTTTCAAACAGTGAACTGGAGCGCCATATTCCCACCTGGTCACAGCGGCTTAATCTGTACGATTAAGCGTCACCCAGAGAGTTTGGCTCGGGACAGGAAGGAGGGTTTTTGGCCCACATTAGCCCACCCCGGTTGGCCTCGGAAGGAAATCGGACAGCTCGACAGTGCAAGGCCTCTCGCGTGAAGAGCCCACGTGGACTGTGGAAGGAAGCCCGTTGGAGAGGAACAAGAGCGATGAAGAGAGGCGGTGGCCTCGATGGGAAGCACACTGCAATCTGTGAAGGGAAGAGCCTAAGTTTGAAGCTAAGAATTGGTTGTTTAATGCATTTCAGAAGTTCATGTAAGGAAATCCACCAGTAGCAACGTGACACAGCAGCCCCTCCTACATGTGGACACCCCCATGATGGAGTTCCTTATCGTCATCAAACAAATGCTGACCGAAATGCGATAAAATAAGCTAAATCATCTCTGTAGAACGTGCTCTGACACACACATACACATACTTCTCTCAGAGAAGAGCCAAGACCATCAAGGTGACCCTTTCCTAAACCAAGAACTACACAATCATCAACCATACACAATCTGCATAGATGTGATGCTTAAAAGAATATCAGTTAACCTGTTCATTAATCAAACTACAAGCCAGATTTTGTGCAAGAACCACAGGTGTAAAACTCGCTCTGCGTCTTATAAAAACAAACAAGTTGAGGCACGAGGAGAGCATTGCTGGGACAGGAAGTGGCCACCTCGCTACCTTCCTCCCTTCAGGATGACAAATACTGTGTTTCCTCTCACTCCTTTCCTGTTCATTCCTCCATCTCCACTACCTCACACACGCACTAATTAACATCATTTAAACATCATTTTATCTCTACGCGATCTGAAAACATTACTCTAAAAGCTCACAGCTTCGTGTATCATCTAGACTCAACACGCCGGCCGGAGTGTGTGAAAATATGTCGTACCAAGACATTAAGAAGAGGGGTGAAGATGGCTTTAGGACCGCCAGTCACAAACACTCTTTCTCTTGGGTATGAATGTAGTTTACAGGTAATAGGGCTCATATGCTCGAAGAATGCTGTTATCCAAGCTTAAACCTTCCTCCACTGCGTTGTGTATTTAAGATGCTTAAGGGGACTCTTCATAGGATCTAGAGTATGGAAGCTACTTTTCCTGGTGACCAGCCATTCTCTGGTCTCTGTAAACGCACTGAACGAGTCGCAGCGCCTCCTTTTCCTGTTTTGGACTTCATCCACTCGCCCTCAAGATTATCTCTGTTGGCGAGTTGCATGGTAATCATAAATTCACAGTATTTGTATTTAAACAAATAATTCTTAACGTGTGCTCTCTTGAAAAGGTGCAAATTTTCTGTCAAAATGAATCAAACTCCCTTTGAGTTTCTTTACATCCATCTTCTCTGACCTTTCCCTGATGTTTATCTACTTCCCCATCTGCTAACAAACACACGCTAACACACACACACACACACACACACATATGATCAGATCCACACGTGGGATTGCGTCGGCGCGTCATCACAACGCGGCCATGGCAGATGGCTTCTGCCTTCTGCTTCGGTACGCTGCTATGCACTCTGGGGCATTGAGTCTCCCGGGACTGAGTCTGCTGCCGTCAGCATGTGTGTTTAGACGGAGATGGAAGGCGAGTGTGAAGCGTGCCTGTGTGTGCATCTTGCTATTGTAGTCCCATTTGCCTCAATGAGTCCCAAGGGGGACATGAGTCTTTATTAGCCATTACCGCGTTGACAGCTGGAGGTGTTATTAACGGGGTCAGCTGACCTTGCCTCAAACTCGTTGATCAGTTTGGAGCCTGCGGGCCTGCTCCCCAGTCTTGATAAATACAAGTGATCAGCTGAGCCTCTGGTCATCGTCATGACAATCCCAGCTCATCCAGCCTGGCTCCTCCTAAAATAAACGTCAGCAAGCTTCTCTTATGAACCGCTTCAGCGGGGGGTGTTTGTCCCATTTCACATCAATAACAGTGGTTGTAGTTCATTGTTTTGTGTTGGTGTGTCTTGATTTCTTATGCAGAATGATTGAGTCACAGGAGAACATGTAAATGCATGATATAAAAACGTAAACAAGAGGATTAATACTTCAGTTCATGAATAAAGTAGAATTATTTAAATTTTCAAGTAATTTTTCCTCCCCTATTACAGGCTTCCGATTTATGTTCAGAAAGCAAATAATTAAATTAATCCCTTTTGAAAAGAAAGCGCCTGTTTGCATATTTTTGGGAGATTCTGTGTTCTCACGTTAATAATGTGAATCAGACTATCTAGAGCTGTACTTTCAGATGTGAGGCACATGCTATTGATATTCAGCATTCACCCCCTCAGCTTGGCTTGCCACTTGTTTGAGGCTCAGATGTTATCAGCTGTTGGGGAATCATAGGAGTCTCCTCAGGGAGTTGTAGTTTTAAGCACCCATTAAGACTGTCGCTGTCCTCGTTCTGATTCACCTCCGCTCATGGAGCCTACTGAGTACCCCTCTGACACTCCTCATCCTTCACCCTTTATATGTGGATGAATGGAATAAAATGTAATTATTCCTGTATATTTCTAGACATCTGATGACCAGTGTTTTATTCTTTCTTGCAGAGCCTCCGGTTGTCCAACAGTTGAAAAGAACCTTCAAGTACTTCCAGGACTACAGACAGGTGAGTCGGACATCCAGACCTTCGAGTAAGCTGCAGAACAGTTTCAATGTTGTGTGTGAAAATATAATTAAATGTTATAATATATGAACTGCGTAGAGGTGGAGCAAGTTGTTTTCTAAGTTGAAGATTGGCGGCTATCACTGTTTCCTCCAGTCCACATGTGGGATGAATGTACATACACCACATTTTGACAGTTAACATTGACTTCTGGATGGTTGGGATTCTGCCTGTTCAGGAGCATTCAGATTAACGTTTTCGAAAAGACAAATATCCGTTCATTCCATTCGTTTTTTTGCTGTGATAGAACAGTAGTTATACTGGTTAGAGTGGTTAGAGTACCAGTAGAGTCGTAACTCTCGTGGTGGAGGGAATCCTCAATGTGAAGAGGACTCTTATTGTGCCGTTGTTAAAAACCCTCACGAGGTTGCTGGGAACATCGGCAGAACTCTGCTTCCTGTTTGAGGTTTTCAGAACGGTTATTTTGGCTGCTTTATGAACAGAAGTCATCTGCCTTCTCTTTGACTATCTGACCTCCGCGTCGTACTCTCCTCAGCTTCCGTTAGACTAGATGTGATGTTGCTTTGGTCAGGGAAACAAAGCCGTGGTTCAAGCAACAAATAAATAAATCATCCATTGGCACTCTCAGTTTTTATAGTTGTTATTGAAGGAAGGAAAAAGAACATTCTTATCAAACAGCTGGTTACAAACCTTTGAGCTCTTTGTTAATGTGCGTGTGTGTGTGGGCCTTTTTATGTTGATGATGTCACGGTCAGATGATCATCGAGCCGACGAGCCCAAAGCTGCTGCCGGACCCTCTCAAGGAGCCGTACTACCAGCCTCCCTACACGCTGGTGCTGGAGCTCACAGACGTCCTGCTGCACCCGGAGTGGTCGGTACGTCTTCCCTGGTCACCTAACCGGCCCTAAAGGCTGCGTGTTAGTCACCGGAGGTTTCCACGTTCCACATCACAGTAAAGTGCAAGTTCAACATGCATGTGAGATCGAACCCCCCACCTAGTGGGATACTAATTGGTTGTAGTGTGAGCTCAACCAACGGACCGAGGGGTTGTGTTTGTGTCTAAATATGATGAACTTTACAAATGTGGATAACGGAGCACCGCCACTGTAGGTTGCTGCATTTATTCGGACAGGTGGAGGATATGAAGTGTGTGATGGAGGTGTGTTCCACCACCTGTGTGCTGAGACATGCACATGCACACTGTCCACCTACCTGTGGCTGTACTCCAGGCCGTAAGTCCTGCGGCCTGTTAATCTCGGCTACGCAATTGGTAGAATTTTAATCACAATCACAATTTAGATTGCCACAATAAAATGAGACCGATCATCAGCAATAATGAAGATTCAAATGGTTGCTCTGCTACATATCAAATCAAGCGCTTCCACAAATATCAGTCAGCAGAATGACGTGGAAGGAGTCATGCGCGGACTCTGCAGCGGCAGCCCCAAAGAAAGTTCTGTCTGCAGAGAGATGCAGAGAGTCCGGTAGAGCAGAGAGACGGAACAGAGCGCACACTACACGGGACACACTGAAATGATGCAATTGCATTTTATTTGGCCAAAGACATGTGTCCAATAAATACTATTTAAATAAATCCTCTTTTTTTGTTAGCCCTTTATTTTGGGTAAAAAATGTATTTATTTTGCTTCGGGTGAACAAGAATGTTTTATTTTGATGCAAAGACGTGTACATTAGCTGGAATGTAGCACAACTTGCAAGTGAAAGCGGTGCTCTGTGGATTTAATTTACTACAACAACAACCTTTTCCTGAGCCCATCAGAGGAGATCTAACACAGTGGTTTCCTGTCAGGACGGGAGTTTATTTTGAAAGAGAAAGTGCTGCGTCAGCGTTTCTTAGTCTTCTGTAGAAAACGCCGGAAAAGAAGTGTCTGTTTTGTTAGATACAATACGCACATACGATGGTATGAGGATAAGTTCCTTTTCAACCTCTATATACACACACACACACACACACACACACCCTGTCTCAATCAGTTACTCACTGACTCGCTCACTCACTCTCCCTCACTCTTTCCCTCACTTTCTCTCACTCACTGTCTCATTCTCAACCTTCCAGTTGTCGACGGGTTGGCGGTTTAAGAAGCGTCCAGGCATCGACTACCTGTTCCAGCAGCTCGCACCGCTCTACGAGATTGTCATCTTCACTGCAGAGACCGGCATGGTGAGTAGGGTTGGGTACCGTAAACCGGCGCCATATTGCCGTTGTCATTAAGCCGCATTGAGCTGCAGACACAGTGACTTCTTTTCATCACTTAAATTACAGGAGTTTGTTTAATTCTTTTCATTTTGTCTTTATTTTACGCAGCAAAGTGTTAACTCAATATACAAATAATACATTTTGTCAGACAGTAGAAAAACTATATGCTGATGTGGCTGGAGCCGCTCTTTTGTGTTGCATCATTAATGATTAATATTCCTCAAATTGCAACTAATATATACACTTCCAGCTTACAGAGGGGAAACACTGTACACTGTACTTAACAGTTAATATACTGTTGATCGTTTGAAGGTAAAGAAGTAGCGGTTCAGGCATCGTTTTAAAAGTATCAATTTAGCACCGGTATCAAAAAAAACTATCATCCCTAATGGTGAGTTGCCAGCACACACACACACACACACACACACACACACACACACACACACACACACACACACACACACCTGTATGCTTTGGCAAAGATTGTCGTTGAATGAGCCATCAAAGGATTCAGTCATGCTGATCCTCTGATGACATCACAGCTGCAGCTGATTCTTTTGGCTGTCTTCAGGAGGAGAAATCTTCCTGAGGAAGCATCCTGTTTTAAAACCACATAGCGAATGTAACTTGGGTCTGTCTTCTTATTACATCTTTTCATTTAGAAATCATTGTATTGTCACTAAAGTTAAATGTGATTGCAGACCCACAGCATTACTGGACCAGTTTGAAAAGTGCTGATATGCTGGCTTCCTGTTAGATGAGAAGAACAATACCTTCTCTGAAGAATCATTCAATAGGAAACTCCGACCGGTAGCTTAGCTTAGCAAAAACAAACGGAAACAAAAAGACTCCACTAGCCTGGATAATTTCTATGTTAAACTCCACCTACCAGCACCTCAGCTCACTGATTGTCATTCGTGTGTGTCCCCAGACGGCGTATCCTCTGATCGACAGCATCGATCCTCAGGGTTTCGTTATGTATCGTCTCTTCAGAGATGCAACACACTATATGGAGGGCCATCATGTCAAGGTAATGTGTGTGTGTGTGTGTGTGTCCACATCTTGTCTACTAAAACTTGCTGTATGAAGGAAACTCCGAAGACTGCTATTGTTTAAACTGTTCATTCAAGTGCTGCTGAGTCACATCCTCTGGCCAGACATGTTGAAATGCTTTATTATAATAGGCATAAATATTTGTATTGCAATGCTGTTTGGGGCTCTGACTCCAAACAACAGAGAATAAGTTAGTCCAATCTCCTGATATGCCAGGTCCTGCTGTAGATTAGGGGTGTCGGGTGTTGCCGCGTCCCCTCGGTGGTGCGTGCTGAAATGACAACCGACAGCAAAAGAGGGGAGAACAGTTTTTAACGTTTGCTTGCACCCATGCAATTGGTTTACAGTAACGGTGCGCACATCTGGTTGGCTAGTACTACCCGACCCCGCCCCTAAGAGAAGAGGCCACCAGGGAAAGGCACGGCCTGTCCAGTCTTCCTGACTGAATCTTTGCCTAAGCTTCACATATATTCATTTATTTAGGCAACCAGCAGCACTTTCATCACCAAGGATTCCTGTTTCCGTGTAGCCATGAAACACCTTTATAAACCAACATGTCTGCTCTCCATGGCAGCCTTCTGCTGCCACCATTGACCCTCCTCCTCCTCCTCCTCACAATAGGCCTCCCTCCTCCTCCCCCGTCTCCCTCTCAGGCCTCATTAACCCCTCAGCCTCCTCCCTTCTTTTAGCTCTTCCTCTTATCTCACCTCCCCGTCACCCTCCTTCACCCCTGCTCTCCTTTCTTTCCTTCATCCGCTTTTATTTTATTCCCTCCTTCATACCAAACCCCCTCCTCCTGTCACCCCCCCTCCAACGGTCATCCCTGGCTTTTTATTGACGAACAGTCTGGAGAAGAAGCTGCTTAACCTACTTTCCAGGAAGAGGACACACTTATCATCTCATCTCCATAACGCCAAGACAGACTGAGCGCAACAGATGCTAAGAGAGAGTTATTAAAGCTCCATATGCTAAGGGAGAGTTAGAGATGCTACATGTGTCAAGACAAAGGTAATAAATGCAGATTGATGGATGTGCACTTTCTGCCATCTACGATTGTAATCCAGATCAAATTCACGTTAGCGAAAACAAATGTTTGCTCTTTTTCTGCGTCTAAAATCCCCGTCCCATATGTGGAGCTGTTTGTTCAGCCTGTATGTGAAAGCTAAATGTATTCCAGTATTGACTATGATACAGTAATGGTAAAATAGTCCTGATCACTCTAATTAGACTTCATGACCCATGTTCATACCCCCCCCACTCCCCCCAACCCCTCTCCCCACGAAGCATCACGTTCGTCAGCTCTGCTGTCTTACATCGTGTCAGATGGATGTAAAAACCATGAGCAGCACACGGATTGTCCCTGAGCCTTCCTCAGCCTCTCATGGAGCCGACCAGCATGCAGCTATTGTTTGCTGGCCTGCATCTGAGCGTCAGACGTCTTATTGTTTGTTGTCTGTTTGCGGGACAGGAAACGCAGCACAACAGTTGGATTAACTGTCTTACTTTCCACTTTGTGTTGGCATTACTGCGACCTGCTGTCCATGCACAGAGGTCTAATGTCCTCCGGCATCACCACGGTTACTTCAGGAGACAATGACCAACTCACTGCCTTTTTTGTTTTTATTTATTTCATTATTTATTAAAGGCGTAACTCATAAAACTGCAACTTTAAGCAGAGAATGACACCACGGCAAATGATTGATTTATAATAAACAAAGCAGATGCATGAAAATACACAGATGGAATGTTTTTAACATTATTGTTCATAGCTGATTTAACATTTGTCAGATAAATAAGTTGTAGTTGGGCGAAGGAGTAGTAGCTGTGACCAAACAGAGCAGCAGCGCTGCTAATTAGCCCTACAGTCAGTTTGTCCTGTCCCCATTTTCATGTCACTTAATTTCTCGACAAAGCCGGAGGGGAAAGTTGTCATTGAGAGACGTATACAGCCACTGTCCTGCAGCGAAGCTTTAAATGATTTTATCACAAACGAACGAAACTGAAAGTTGGGTCAACACATTGAAATGCAATAGCTGCTCTCAGGGAGAATTACAGGAAATGAGGTTCACCTTCACACACAGTGAGGTGCTTCCTCTTATAAGGCTGTGACCTCCTTATTGGTGCGTTGCCACTCAAACATGTTCACTCGACCTGTGGTTTCCAGAGCTGTTTGCTGATTGAATTTATTAAGAACTTGTTCATGTTTCAATGAATCAAGCCTTGGGGAGAATAAGACGTTTCCTTTCATCAGGATAGTGAAATGATTTATTAAGTGTTTCTAATCAATAATTCTTTAAAGAGGGCCTCCACGGTGTATCTGTCTTAGGACGGGTTCACTCAATCTAATTTTAGTTGAGCGGCAAACAGACCAGAAAACTAACTGGTTGAATAAATATGTCCTCTACTTCTGTTTGACCAACAACCTGTGGTTCTTTTGGAGTCCTGTTAACTTGTGTGAGTGTGCACATACGCAGTTGAACCTTCATGCTGGCTTTACAAAACAAACGCACACACTGTGAAGGAAAGGGTCGTCTTTCATTCGTTGGTGATGAGGAGGAGGAGGATGGATCAGTCCGCGGGGGTTTACACACACAAATACACACACAGCATTTTGTGTGGGGCTGGGCACCAGATGAGCGCTGCGATGGGGACGATGCAACGTCCCTCTCCATCTGTTGTGCACACATACACGTGTCACCACCAGCTGGAGCTACCAGAGAAAGTGTGTGTTTTAATTCTAATTATCATTAAGTATAATTAAGATAATATAGCTGTGTATTTGATCAGGTCTTAAAAAGGTCAGCACGGTGTTTCTCTGATCATCTGGACCGTCTGTGTGTGCAGGACGTGTCTTGTCTGAACCGGGACACCAGCAAGGTGATCGTGGTGGACTGCAAGAGGGAGGCGTTCAGCTTGCAGCCCTTCAACGGCATGGCGCTGAAGAAGTGGGACGGCAACTCGGAGGATCGGGCGCTCTATGACCTCGCCAACTTCCTCAAGAGTAAGACCGCCGCCCCCGCTGTCCAGGCTTCCTTTGGCTCCATCCCCCCTCTTTGCTCTTACTAGTCATTTTTCTACAGATTAAATAAACAACATATGTGTAATTATTTAGTTGTGTCAGAAAGAGAGCAAATGCATGTTTGATGTTAAAGGACATTGTGCTAGTAAGTGAAAATGTGTTCAATTTACTTAAAGTATCACTTGGTAGTGACTTGTTATTACTACTAGTACCTAAAGCAACACTACGCATCTCTGTTGTAAATGTAAACGATGACATCCGGATCCAATGAATCAAGCTGACCGTGTAGAGTCTTACTGTTTCACCAATTAATGTGACGTCAAAGATGACCACTAATAGGACAAACAAATACCAAAACATGTGTGTTGAGGCCTCACGCAGTTACAACAAATGAGCCAAAGTTCTTCTCTCTGGCTGACGCATTGAAGAGTAACAGAAATGTTTGTGAACGAGGCCTGGTGAGGTTTCAGGGAATGATCTTACGTACTAAATGTCCTTATAAACGTAAAAAGTATGTTCTGCCGTTTGACCTCCTCCTCCTCCTTACTGGCAGCTATTGCTCTGAGCGGAGTGGATGACGTGCGTTCTGTGTTGGAGAACTACGCTAAGGAGGAGGACCCCATCGAGGCCTTCAAACGCAGACAGGCTCAGTTGGCACAGGTAGGAGGACGAATGGAGCGCACCGGGGGTTTGATTGCTCCTCGTGGTGTTTGATCTGACCCCATGGTGGTCTGTCTCCTCCCTCAGGAGGAGGAGCAGCGTCTGGCCGAGCTCTCCCAGCAGAAGAAACAGGGACTCTCCCTCGGCTCCATCGCGTCGCGGTTCTGGCGCTCCAAGCAGCAGTGAGCCCCGCCCCCCTCTCACACTTCCACCAATTGCAGCCCAGCTCGCCATCTGCGTTGAGGGAAGGGGCCAGAAGATAAAGGGGGAGGGGAGAGGGGATACCTATCCACCGAGCGCCCCTACAGCCAATCACGTCTCATTCTGCGGTGTTTGAACATTGGCCGTCCTCTGCACCAATGAGAGAGGCACTTCCTGTTCTCACGGAGGCTGGGCGTTGGCGGCCCCCTCCCTTTGGTCATCTTGATGTGAAGTGATGCATATCAAGCTGCTGATTGGTTAAAAGAGGAAGAGAAGAGGATCCAGGTCAGGATAAACTCTTGTTGTTGGCGCCTTGGGAGTTGATCTGAGACTAGCGCTGCTATCACCACTCCAGCTCTGGTTAGCCCCGCCGCCCACAGGATCTGACCTGAGATCAGCAGAGCTCTGCACCACACCACTTCATCAGATTGTCTATTTAATTTTATTTTCTATTCCTCCGTGTGTCAGATTGTGCTGACAGGCTGAAAATGTTAAAATAATGATAATAATGTTTATAAGAAATAAAGATAAACAGTAAGTAGTGCTCTTTATAGTTTATTCAATTCTATTCAATATGTAAGACTGGCTGGCTGGTGGTGGCATGCACAGGAACGTGCTTTCATTCCTTATCGATGACAAATTCTATAAAAGAAGATCAATGCGGTCTGACTTCCTGTCTCTCAGACGCCACTGGTTCCCGCTGGTGACACAAATGTACAGCGTCACCAGCAATTAACAGCCGGCCATGTTTTTAAATTAAGCAAACCGGAGGAAAAAGTGTGTTTGTTTGTCAGTGGCAGATCAATCCACATGTGGTATTCTGAGTATTTTTGACAGCAGGACGGTGTGTGAGTGTGTGGGATTGAGTCTAAATAAACTACAGTGTGTTAATGTGTGTGTTCATCTTTAAGCAACATTATGTCAGCTCATCCAGAAGCACTCTATAAAGTTGAGCAAACTTCCAACATCTCTTCTCCCTGATGGCCGAGGAGGCCTCTGCAGGTGGATGCCTCCGTCCTCGAGGAGAGGGTCCGTGCGCCGCTGCTGCTCCTCTGAATGTGCTTGTTGAACGAGTGTGTCGATGTGAGCTCCTCAATAAAGGAAACCAACCACGCTCATTTAATGCCTTTGAACACTGTGTACAAAACACTGTGCCACACATTATTTTGTTCTAGCAAAGTGTAAAAAATCCGGATTGACTCGCAGTTAAACTTCATTTGTTTCTTGCTGTTTTCCTTCATTATTTACGATTTGTTCGCTCATTAAAAAACATATTTCCATTTGTTCAGGATTATTTTGAAATAAAGTTTCTCAAGCCATCTGGTTCTGAATAGGACACTCGAATAAGCTCAAAACAATGTACTCTTCTATTCTCAGAGTAATTGACTTGACCTTCGATTTTAAATGCCTACCTTGTAATACGTCACGGGTTTAAAGGAAGCACTTTGAGTTTTATTCTGTATATTTCAATCCGAATGAACCGTAAAGTTAAATTCCAACCCAACCTGAGGAATGGCGCACGTTGTGCTATTTAAAGCAGGAACCCTGCGGAGCCTTGAGACCTCTGCATCTGTCCCGCTGTTCCCTCTCTGCTGGAGTCCTGCTTCACAAGCCTCCATCTGTGAAGGTGTCGCCACAGTTTGCACCACAGAGGCAGCGAGAGCTCCGCCTCCATCTGCCTCTCTGCCTCTGCACCAAGCAGGCTTAGGGTTGTCAAACAAGTATGAAAATTAAAATAAACTAAAATACTGCTGTTTTTGCGATGTCAATCATTTGAAATAATTTATCATGGTACAAAATCCAAGTAATTGCATGTTAGTCAGTGGTTTTCCTGCTTTCCTGTTTACTTTGTATCCCATCATTTTGATTTATTTAAACAAATAAGTTGCCTTAGTTTCATTTAATCATTTTGTAACATAAGTTCTACATTTTCTCTCGCTTAGATTAATTTAGTTTAAATGCGGGGAGCAGTTAGGGGTTGGGTGTCTTGCTCAGGGACACTTCGACATGGAGCAGCCGGGATTCAAGCCGCCGGGATTCAAGCCGCCAACCTTGCGCTTCCCTGCTCTCTACTCCATGCACCACAGTCCCCCTAATTGCATCTGGGGCTATGGATTTAGGACATAGAGAGGCAGGATTTGGTGCTTTAAAGTAAAGGAATCTCCAGATTGGTCTTCACCATGAGGAGGCCTCATCTGCAGGCTGCATAGTAAGTGATGTCCACAGGCTGTCACGGACAATCCTCCTGTAGTGTCTGTCCAATGAGGGCATTCTAAATACACAATACATGTATATTTATACATGTATTGTTTTTTTATTTCAATTACTTTGAGAATAGAAGAGTACATTGTTTTATTGAGCTTATTCGAGTGTCCTATTCAGAACCAGATGGCTTGAAAAACTTTATTTCAAAATAATCCTGAACAAATGGAAATTAGTTTTTAACGGGAAAACGGATCGTAAATAATGAAGAAAAACAGCAAGAAACAAATGAAGTTTAACTGCGAGTCAATCTTGATTTTGTACACTTTGCTAGAACAAAATAATGTGTGGCACAGTGTTTTGTACACAGTGTTCAAAGGCATTAAATGAGCGTGGTTGGTTTCCTTTATTGAGGAGCTCACATCGACACAAATACTCTTCCAACAAGCACATTCAGAGGAGCAGCAGCGGCGCAGACCTCTGACTTCACAAAAAGTGAAATCGTCCAACTCATTCAAAATGTCATTGGGGATGATACGAAAATCCACCTATGACCTCATGACTATTCTGTGGAGAAAACAAAGACTGGATGAAGATAACCAGGAGCTGTTTCTCTTTGGACGGATGATCAGCCTGACCCAGCTTAAAGGATTCTCACCCCGTGGGTCTTCTCGGCTTCTCTTATTTATCCAAAGTGTCCGCAGGGACGGAGGAAAAGCAGCTTGGGGGACTTCCTGCTGTGTTCAGAGGGGTTTGTGGAGGCTCATCCAGCCTTGGGATTAAGAATGAAATGCTACTGTTTTAACATACTAGATGTCTGAGGACTGCATGCTATTGGATCAAACAGCAGTAAAACTTCATCTGGTTACATTTTGATGATGTCATAGCAAAGGGTCAAAGGGTTGGCGGCATAAATACATTTGATATTGTGCTAATAACATTTAATAACATCCTTCACCCAACTACTATCCCCACTCCATATTTATTTATTCAACAAATGTGAACAAGAAGTTAAGTTATCAGATATGAACAATAATATTTAGATAATCACAGGCTGATCTGCCATCAGTCCCCAGGGAGAAAAAGTTGATGCACTTCTTCAAGTCTTTCTCTGCCACTGGTTTATTCCATTCTGCTGTACAACACCAAATATTTCTCAATAGTGCTGTTGTATCCACCGTTTGTGATAGTATAGATTTTTGATAACCGCAATAGAAACACAAAACTTGTTTTATGAATGGAGTTTTTGAAAGGGGAATCAAATTTAAATACTTATTTATACCGGCACATTTAGAATGTACAATTCCTATAAAAAGTATTCACCCCTGCTTGGACCTTTTCCTATTTTGTACTGTTACAAACTGGAATTCAAATCAAATGAAATAGACTTTTTCCCATTTGATCAAGACAACATGAACAGTACTTTGAAGGTACAAAATACATTTCATTGTGACACAAACAATAATGAGAACAAATATGTATTCACCCATCTCAGTCGATACTTGGTAGAACCCCCTTTCGTTGCCAGCTCCAAGTCTGTCTCCGCCAGCTTTGCACATTTAGAGATTGAAATGATGACAAAAAAGATGAAGCTCACTCAGATTGGATGGAGACCGTCTGTAAAAATCAATTTTCAAATCTTGCAATAGGTTCTCAATTGGATTGCTTTGATATAAACCCTTCCATTGTAGCTCTGTATGCTTGAGGTCATTTACCTGCTGGAAGATGAACCTCCGCCTCAGTCTCAAGTCTTTTGCAGACTGCATCATATTTTACCAAGGGTTGCCCTGAATCTGGCTCCATCCATCTTTCTCTCAGTTCTGAGTAGTTTCCCTGGTGAAGAGAAGCATCCCCACAGCATGATGCTACCACCACCTTATTTCACTGTTGGGATGGTGTGCTCAGGGTGGTGGGCAGTGTTGGGTTTCCACCACACATAGTGATTTGCATCGAGGTCAAAAGGTTCCATTTTGGTCTCATCTGACCAGAGCACCTTCTCCCACATGTTTGCTGTGTCTCCCACATGGATTGTGGTAACCTCCGAATGGGATTTCTTTCTTTCTTCTTGCGACTCTTCCATAAAGGCCAGATTTATGGAGTACACAGCTAATCGTTGTCCTGTGGAAAGATTCTCTCACCCGACTTCCAGATAATGGACTATTTTGTGCATTACATAAAATCACAGTGGAATCATTGCACTGAGTCTATATGTCTCAATCAGGCAGCCACATCTGCTGCAATTTGTCTCTGTTCCTCAATGAAAACCGCTCAGGCTCTATCCGGTGGCTCGGGCATTTGGCGTGAACATCTCACTAAATCCAGCCACAAATATTCTCCATTGGATTGAGATGTGGGCTTTGACTTGGCCACTCCAGAATATTCTCCTGGTCTTTGAACCGTTTTTGTGGAGCTCCTGCTGCTGCTTGGGCTTTTGTCCTTAGCGGAAATCAAATTGTCTCCCAAGTCGTAGTTCTTTTGCAGAGTCAGATTACCCAGCAGGATTTGGTGATATCTTCGTGAAATTCAGAAAAAAAAACCCTCTATTCCTGTCATGTTAATGACATTGTTTGACAGCAGCGTGTGAAGTCAGCGAACAAGAGGGGCGCATGGGTGGCGAGGCCTCACACCTACTCGCAAACTGTCCCCAGCGCCCCCCCCTTAACAGACAGACGACCACGTGCCAAAATCCTTAATGATGCCCATTGCAGAGTGCATGCGAGAGAGAGAGAGAGAGAGAGAGAGAGAGAGAGTTTGTGTGTGTTTGGGGGTGGGGGGCATTTTGGCCCACTGATTATTAATAGTTGAGTTACTTATTTCAAAATATACATTTCAAATGTAATTAATAGACACACAGTGCTGCCAATAATCACACAATAGTATCAGATAATTCTTTCTTGTTTGTTATGGGTTATTTTTAAATTAATTATTATAACTGAGAGCTACACGTTGTTGAAATATGTGATGGCAGTAATTTGGGCTACGAATGAAAGGCTGATATTAGCCTTCTGTATGGAGCTATTATTATTATTCCTCATCTGGTGAATTTCTTCGATTTCTGGATGAGGCTGTAACTGAATGAGTGTAACAACATGTGGACTTACGATTGATAAACTTTATTGATTTGGCTTTTCTATCACATGTTTCAATCAGAAATATCAACACTCTAAAAGTTGTTTCCCTTGTTACCCACAGATATGTTTCTATCAAATCTATGTTTAGAAATAAACGATGCGGATGTCAAATAAGACCGTATTAAATGTTTGTAAAATCAGTATTTATCATTAAAATGATTTGTCTTTCTGTGAATGATCGCGAGCAGAAATACCTCAGCATCACTGTCCCAACGGGATCGGGGGGCGGGACCTGTAATTGTCCGATCGGAGGCTCGTCATATATTGTCACGTGTTGAGGTTGCGTGTAGCCGTTTGTTTCACGCGGTCTGCGCGTGTCTGTGGAGGTGTCGGTCCCGACACCTCGCGCAAATGTGTTGGGTCCCCTTTGCTCGCTCACACCTTCAGAAAGTCTCCCACGGTTCCCCCCGTCTCCTCCCGGGCACGCGCTGTGTGTTCTCTCGCCTCAGCAGAAGCTCGTGCCTCTGTTCGGACCATTTGGACACGTGCGGCGGGACAAAGGGGGTTTAATGTAAAACGATGCAGAGAACTCTGTTTGTTGTTGATTTGTATTCATAGTTCATACATTCATTCTGACATAAAGTATTCTGCACAATGACTTTCACTTCGGTAGTTGGGTAAAACTCTGAGTGCAGGACTTGTACTTCTAACGTAATACTTCCTTCACACAGATTTTACACAGGCACATGAAACACTTGTTACGGTTCTGACCCAAACAGTGAAAAGTGAAAACGCGCCCGGAACTACCACGCGCTGACGTGCGCGTGACCTACCAAAGTGACAGTCCTTTGTGTCGATCAAACGCGGGCGGCAGATCAATAAGCAGATGGCGCGTGATCGAACGCACGTGTGAACGACGCTTCCAGCTCTGCGGGGAGCGGGCGCTGCGCGTGCTGGCGTGCGTGGCTTCTGTGCTCCTTCTTATAAGGGAGTGAAACACGAGTGCACTGCTTTAACACTGACTGGCTCACATACAACGTGTCTTAAAGAGCAGGCATGGAGCGTTTAGTGCAAAGGGAAGGGACCATATCTGAGATCAGCTGATCAGCGGATCAACCAACTAACGAGTGCGATTCATATACTGTAAATATGAAGGTCTGAGCTAACGCGAACTCATGAAGATGGGATCAAATGCAAATGTTGTTATCCATATAATGGATAATGCGCTGATACAACACAGTGATGACGAGTAGTCAGATCCAGTAATATGACTGCAACACCAGGATAGTATGAAGTACTAATACACACGGTGGGTTATCGTGTATTCCTCCTCGGTACAATTATTCAATGGAGCAACTTCCATTTCCAATCGCACTCATTATATTACAGACCACGTGACCTTCATACTATATTGCATTGGTGTTGAATTCGTGCAGTCACATCTTTCCTTTTACTGCGACGACCACAGACGGCTGATGTTGTTATTTGGCACAGACATGAAGCTTTGAGTGTGTAATTCATTGTTTACAGTCCGCGTGCCGGCTTATATCCTATCGTTCATCAATGTTGCTGCTTTTGTTTTAAGCCGCCAGAGACACACGCACACAACACGCGTCTGAATACAAACAGGGTGACAATAGACGGCTTGGTGTGTGCGTGTGTCTGCGTGTGTGTGTACGTTTATGCATGTGTGTGTGTGTGTGTATGAAGCGTGCCTCGTGCCATGGGTGGGGTTAGAATGAAGAGGGAGGGGGGGACAATGGGGGCACGCGCGGTCCTTATTAAAATAACAATAACGGGCAAGGCGGGTGGCGAGTGCTAAGAAAAAAGCAGTTTGCACACACACACACACACACACACACACACACACACACACACACACACACACACACACACACACACAAACAGACAAACTGTATGTAGCCTACTTGCCACCCTTATCTTACTGTGGGCGGCTTTATTTATAGTGTTACTTTCATATTAGACGCCGGAGACGCTGGTTGCGCAAACTCAGAGCTGATCTCTGAGACGTGATGTGTAGTAGGCTTTATATTTTAAATAGACTCAGCAAATGAAGACCATTGAAAAAATATATCCAAGACATATTTCACTGTAATACCTATTAATACCTTGTTTGGTAATTCAAAAGTTAAAATACTGTGGGTTTTTAATGGTATCTTGTGGCGAAGCACCATCCAGTGGCTTTATTTCAGCTGCTTCAACATATACAGCTAAATGCTGTTAAAACACACCCACCACGCAGAGACCAGGTACTACAAAAACTAAATTCTCCAGCTGCACACCTGAAAATATCAACATGAAGTCTGCCATGTTTGGGGACAGAAAAAAACCAGGGTGTGTTGAAGAAAAGTTGCAAGCGAGCAGGTCAGGGTACAGAGCCTGTTACCACGGCTACAGATATGGAGGTGCAGAGGTTTTTTTCACTTCCTAACAGTGAACATTCAGTTTCTCTCATTCATGTCAAAGTTTTCACTGAACCTTCTGAAACTGTGGTCAGGTGAGGGTTTTTTGTTACATTGTCATACAAATATGGAAGTAGGATAAAGGTCTATTATGTTGATGAACCAGTTTTACTTCAGACAAAAATGCATCCAGTCAAACCAATAACACTCAGGAAAAGCCTTACTTGAGGAGCACTGACAAACTTGTGCTCCCCATGAAAATCTTCCATCAACGACGGTTTGTTTATGTTTTGACCCAGAACCAAATAACTTTTTAAACTCCCAAATACTGATTGGTGTTCAAGATCTAGCATCAGGTTTACATGAGTGCATCTGATCCCTGCTTTAACAGTTAAAGCAGGATCAAAGTTAAAGTTAATTTTGAGCAGAATTGTTAAGGCTTAATGTTAGACGCTCAGACAAAGCCCTCCCCAAGTCATTGGGGAGTCATTACGTGGAGAGGAGGTCAAACAAACACAGGGCTTTCACCCAGACGACGGCTGCAGATTCCTCTACAGAAATGGGGACTCTAATTTGGCAACTCAGTTTACTCACTTCACGTCCGTCCGCGACCCTTTCTCTTCCATAAATGAAGCGTGTTTGTTTGCTCTCACCCTGTTTGAAGCGGCCTGACACGTCCACAATCGGGACGTCAAAGAATTTGACTATTGTACATGTCATATCATGTCAAAAGAGGTTTCACTCTAAAATGTAGTGTAAACCAACTAAATATGGAACCCAGGTGGAAGTGGACTCAAAGTTCATTCACTTAAATAATGTGTTCACATACATCACAGTTTGTAATTGGCCCTACTGTTAATGATGTCCATGCAGCTGACACCCAATTGTCTGTGCGTATGTGTGTATGTATCCGTGTAGGCGATACACTAAAATATATTTCTTGTTTTTGTGTTTATCGATTTACTTCATGGCAGTAATATTTCCAAAGGTTTCTGACATGGATTTGGTGAATGCAATACTAATTGTGTGCGTGCGTGTGTGTGTGTGTGTGTGCATGCGTGCGTGTGAACGCTCTCCGTTTGGCCGCGGGACGCAGTAAAAGGTGCGTTTGGCCGCTCAGGCTGCTGCAGCTGCCGCCCGACAGTTTGTCCCATTGCCGCTGTAATTGTCTCCTTGGCGCTGACAGCGAATCAAAGCTTGACCTCACCCCCCCCCCCCCCCCCCCCCCCCCACCCCCACTCCCCTCCAACACTCTCACACACACACACAAGCACACACACACTCCCCGCCTCCCCCAATGCAAGACTCCTCCACACTGAAAGAAACACCCCTCACTCCTGACTTTAGTCTACCGGGACACACCCTCAATCACAGTTGGTTCCAACTGGATGTAGACAATAAATATCGCATGTATACATTTAGAAGGTCAAAGTCTGAAATGCAACCTGCAGAAACTTTTGAATAGCGTCGCAGTGGCCTCGGTTCACGGCTCTGCAGGTCGAAGTCCGGGGGGGATAAAGTAGAGCCGCTGGGTGCGCGGGGTCCCGCTGCGGATCTGCCGCACCTGAGGAGCGGCGACACGAGCCCGTCGGGCAGGAAGTTCCGCCGCAGTAAATGTCGGAGGAGAAAAGAGGGACAGTTTCGATTTGACGGAACCGAGTTCCTTCACCTCAACGGTGGACGAGAACTTGTTTCTCAGGTGGATATTTTTTGCAGCGCCCCCACCCCCTCCCCAACCCCCCTGCCCTCTTCCTGTTGCTCCTGGGTATAAAGCAGGAGGAGCAAGCGCTGCTGGCACAGTCCAGAGTTCAGCAGCATAGCGGAACTCTTCTCTACGTGTTATACCTTTTGATCTCCTCATTCAGCCCGCTGACACGCGCACGGGCTGACTTTTAGCCCTCTGGGTATTTCTGGATTTGTTCCCGCAGCGTCTGAACGTTGTATCTCTTCCGCGCCGTCTCCCTCGGACCCGGTGTGGATTTTACGCGTTTATCCGACCTCTTCCTCGGACCTCCGGAGCTGTGCCCCCCGGAGCCATGGCGCGCTCCTTACTGCCGTGTCTCCTGCTGTTCGTATCGGCGCAGACGGTGAGTCGCACTGACAGCACACACGCACCAATTCAGCTCTAGTTTTCTCTCGCAGGCACTGCGCAGAATGCGGACAGGTCGGACGATGTGCGTCAATACGCACAGCACGCCGAGCCGCTTTTACACATTTACTTCATTTGACTTGGTTGTTTTTGGATTACAAAAAAGCAAACATCAGATGTTTGCATCTATGTAACTGGTCAATTATACAGTCCGGACAGTCTGACGTCATATATATATAATAGTTATCTGCGGGAATAAGAAAACGTTACATGTTTTGCAAAGTTAGGGCGAGTGAACCTGTACTGTATCTATGCTCATTCATTCCGTAGGTTACCACTTATCTTTTATTTCTTGGCATAATGAAGTTTTATTTTCCTCTCTACCCCCTCTTCTGTGCCCCTTATCAGATCTTTTCCTCGGCGGTCTTCGAGCTGAAGATCAACTCCTTCACCAGCGCGCGCAGCGTCTGTCAGTTCCAGACCCAGGACTGCCAGATCTTTTTCCGCGTGTGCCTCAAGCACTCGCAGGACTCGCAGGACGATACCAAACCGGAGCCGCCCTGCACCTACGGAATCGCGTTCACGGAGATCTTCGGCGCGGACCCCAAATCCATATCCGCGAGCGCGCCCGTCAAGGTGGACATCAGCTTCAAGTGGCCGGTAGGTGACTCACATCTAAGGGTTTGTCTAACAAAGTCATAACTTTAACAAGTGCTGCGCTAATCTATGTGCTTCCCAACATTCTTTACAGAACGCTTCTATAATAAATACTGACAGCTTCTTGTGTATAAAATGTACGAAATTGAACTTATTTAAACATGGTCATGGTCAATAATCGCTCACATATTAGATTACACCATTGACTAAGCCTTCCCAACTCATTCAGGAGACTTTCGCGCTGATCATTGAAGCTTGGAACGCGGAGTCTTCAGGTCTGGACTCTACAGGTAACTGCTGGTTCTTCACCACAGGGGGGCGTCAGCGCAGCCAATAGAGAAGCGTGTTGACGTTTGATTAGACGGTAATGCAGTCCTTGTTTGAAGAGTAAATTCTTATATTTCTCCTCATATTTCATCTTCTAACACGATAGAAGGTAGATAATACTATAAACTTTCCATTATCCATTTTTAACGCACTAGAAGTTTTTTATTACAAAGCAGAGAGGATCAGGTCACTGTAAAGTCATTACAGACCAACATTTATTTCCCCACGGAATATAATATAATATGAGAGTGATTGTGTAACATTTAAACAGTGTCAACTTATTTCTTTTAGAATAATTCCTCATCTGTCACAAGACATCAAAGTCTCTCCATCTCTTCCTTCGCTCATCCAGAAAACCAGAATAACCTCATCAGTCGGCTGGCGACCCGCCACAGACTAAGAGTTGGGGAAGACTGGTCCCAGGGCGTGCAGTTTGGCAACCAGAGCGAGCTTAACTACTCCTACCACTTAGTGTGTAATGAGTACTACCACGGCAACGCTTGCTCGTCCTACTGCCGGCCCCGCAACGACACCTTCGGCCACTACACCTGCGACGACAACGGAGGCCGCCGCTGCTTGGGGGGCTGGACGGGCGTGTACTGCTCTCACCGTGAGTGCGGACAACGACTCAATGTAACCAAATGATGTGGTGTCAGATCAAAGCCATTTGAAAATGCAGTTCTTTTCAACATCCAGATCAGAGGTCACTAACTGGTGGGCCGCGGTCCAAATCCGGACCCAGAAGCCGTCCCATCCGTCCCTGACCTAAAGCTAATACCGACGGGTGTGATTTAAAACCTGACGGGGCACTTTTCAACCGGCGCAGCTTTGGTAGTCTTTACGTTACTGGCTTAAAGCCAAAACCATTTGGATTCGAGTTAAGACATCCCACATGTTCCCACTTGACCAATCAAGTCTGTGCGGGTCCGAATGTGAAACCGAAAAAATTGAATTGAAGTAAACAATATTTATATTTGCAGTCATACATAGATGTTCAGTTCTTTGTTACGCGACACTAAATATTGTCAATTGAGTTTTTTAGTTGTACTGAATTCATTTGAATCGTCAGTCGTGTATTGATTACATGCAGATGTTGATACAACTGTATCGCTCTATTTAATCACACTAAATAGTTTATGATCTTCCGGACTTTTCTCTAACTGGACCTCTTTAAATTTTAGTTAAATCCCCCTGATGTAAAGCCTGATGCGCATAACTGATAAAAGGGGTCAACTCCAAGAGAGAGTCCTCAAAGGCATCACCATGTTTTTGTAAAATTAGATCGGTGAAAGAAGCGGGAAATATGTGTCTTAATAGTGAACTCAGTTATTCTATGACACTGAGAGATTTTTTTATCTACTGTAGTATTTCAAAAAAGTCTAATAGTATTTCTCTGAATTTTATTTCCAATTAAAATGTTATTTAGTTGAAAGTTGGCATGTTTCTATGTACAGTTTTGTAAAGGGCTCCTACAGTGAAGATTATTTTAAATATATGAAATAAAGAGAACAAGTTTCGACAGCCAACCTGATGAGTGACAGGTTGAGATCAGCGTGGCTTCTACAGAGCACCAACATTGCCTGAGAAGGGCAACGTTTTCTTAACAGCCTTGTGAACCCTCTTCCCGACTCCTCCCCCTCCTGCTTTTATTCTAACGTTTCTTCAGATTGGGAGGGAGGCTGTGGCGGGGGTGCTTGTGGGTGGAAGGAGGGTTAAAGAATGGGACTCTTGGCGCTTAATTTATTTGTCCGGTGGGCTTAAAATCGTTAAGTCAAGCAGTTGTCAACGCCATTGCTTCTCCTTGGTGGTTGTGGATCTCAGAGATGCTGTTGTTTCCAATGCGTGTGTGTGTGTGTTGGCTCTGGGGTCTGCTCCTTTTGTTTTTAGCTCAACAGTCGGGGCCCCGTTGGGCCCCTGGTTTGCACGTTTTAACAGGAACACGCGCTGGAGCTTAATGTGAGCTGCCGTGCGTGAAAAGAGATGGCATGTGTTGCTTTTGTTGTGTGGGCCAGCTGCTTCGTCAGTACTTAACAAGCACTTGAAGGGTGAGTGTGTGTGTGTGTGTGTGTGTGTTAAACCTTGAGGGAGGGGGGTGGTCTGTGATTTGAACGAAGAACATGAGACACACATGCACTCATAGTAATGCTCTCTCTTTTCTTTTTCCTCCCCCTCTCTCTCTTTCTTCGACGTCCCTCCTTCCGTGTGTTCCTTCTCCTCCTCCCATCAGCCATCTGTGCTGCAGGTTGCAGCAAGGATCACGGCTTGTGCGAGTCTCCCGGGGAGTGTGTGTGTCGGCAGGGCTGGCAGGGCGAGCGCTGCGACGAGTGCGCCCGACACCCCGGCTGCATCCACGGGACCTGCCTGCAGCCGTGGCAGTGCAACTGTCGGGAGGGATGGGGAGGACTGTACTGTGACCAAGGTGGGTAGCTGGATCATCCAGCGGCTTGCAGACGTCAACGCACACCTCTCAGTCTTGGGACCCAAAAGAAGCGTTTCAAGTGAACAACACAAAGAGGAATGTTGCCACTAAAGCATACACGTATCAAGTCAGCTGTTAACCAGCCTTCAAAGTATCACTATATATATTAGAGTCTGGATGTGGTCCGGCCGTTTGTCACAATTGGCCGACTAACTGTTGCAGATATAATTAATTAATGACTACTTAATTTATATTAAGTGATAATGACAATAAATTATCATATGTTTTTAGCTCATGCGTCCATTTTTATGTTTATTTCTATTACAGTATTCTCATCATGTTCTTGCAGATGTTTGTTGTCCGTTAGCTAATTGTTGCCTGCTAATGTCGATGAGAAGTAAAAGCTGTGTGTGCGCAAGGCCGTTCATTCTTGAACTTAATTCCAGTACTGAGGGGTACGGCCAAAAATTCACACTATTTAGCCTGATTCTGTTGGTATGCCGGTATATCCCGGTATTTTAACGCATTCATTCATTGACACCGAAAACCACTGGTGTTCACCGCTCGTTGGCTAACTTGCTCGCTACTGGCCAGCGCGTTAGCTTGTTAGCTTGTTAGCATGTTGTGGCTGCTAGTGTTGCCATCAGAGGCAATACCAGTGGCTCAACAAACTTTGCTAAATCGTTTTCTGATCTAACTTAGGTCAGATTTTTCTAAACCAAAAATCCCCCAAACAGCACACAGTGTTGGTGCATCTCTGGTTTCTTTTCAATTTTTTGAACAGAGTTACTTCGGTGGGGTAATTTTTATTTTACAATTAGGCCTATTCGTGTTCCAAATTGTTTATGTGTCACAAAGTGTTGCATTGTGGTGTTTTACCCTGTTAAAGAGCGTTAGTTGTGAGCTATTAATTATTGTTACAACATTATAACCACTACTCCATCTCAATACACGTGAGAGACGTAGCTCTGGCCGCTGGGCCCCATCGGTACGCGGTGGACAATACATTTATCTGCTATTATTACATTGATTACGACTATGACTATGACTATGAAAAATTCATACCGTATGGAAATTTGAAACCGGTATACCGCTCAGCCCTACTTAATTCTGTTAAATATTAACATAAAATGTATTACACATTTATAGCTTCTACGCCATATAGTTTCTGCAGGTTTTACTTTCATATTCACGCTGTGTATAGTCTTCTTTTGAGGGATAAAGAAAAAATTAAAAATCTTTTTCTCTTAATTTAATCCTCATGCAAAAATAGAAGAACGCTATTCTTAGACATTTTTCAACCTCAAAAGCTAAATTAAAATGCCAACAAATTCCTTGTCATATTGTGTTATGTTATGATGCTGTTTAAGGTAGTAGGGGTGTCTTCTTGTGCTGGACACTGGAATTGACAAACTGAGATCCATTTTAAGGTAGAGAAGTAAATATAAATAAAAAAATAGTAGCAGTCACTACACTCCTACAAAGGTCACTCATCTTTTTCATTCTTCAGTAAAACTGTTTCTACATAACCTTTGCCCTACATACCTAAGAAACATTTTACAAGAAGAGTATGTTTGAAAAAAGGATTGACGTTTTCCAGAGGAATGTTTCGCTTTAGTTGTACCTACCAAACGTTTCTGTTTCACTTGTGCTGTATCAAAACCCCAGACCTGAATTACTGCACCAACCACAAGCCGTGCAAGAACGATGCCTCGTGCACCAACACCGGCCAGGGCAGCTACACCTGCACCTGCAGGCCCGGGTTCACCAGCAAGAACTGTGAAATTGAGACCAACGAGTGTGACAGCAACCCCTGCAAGAATGGCGGCAGCTGCAAAGTAAGCCCAGTCCCCAGATCTGAAGCTTTAGTCCTACACTCAGCTCCACCAAGCTCTAAAGGGTTTGGATCCATCAGCCTGTATAACTAAATATATTTTTCTTTTAATGTTCAGTCATTTCGCATTTCAAGAATAAGCACACAATTCAGTTAACCCTGAACCATTGAACAAGGGGGGCACCACGCTCCACCAAGGGCCTTCCCAAGAAGGTCCGGAATACTTTGTTTTGTTTTTTGGGCCCGACACGTGCCCTCATTCAGACACGTGCGCGCATAAAATAATAATCATGCAATTTAAGAAGGCTGAAAGATTTTCACCTCCTCCCCTCTTATCGCCTCTCGTCTTTCCCCCCAGGACTTGGAGAATGATTATTCGTGCGAATGCCCTCAAGGCTTCTATGGGAAGAACTGCGAGATCAGCGCCATGACCTGCGCAGACGGGCCGTGTTTTAATGGAGGCACCTGCACGGAGAGCGTGGTCGGTGGGTACAGTTGTCGCTGCCCGTCTGGGTATACAGGCTCCAACTGCGAGAAGAGGATCGATAAATGCAGCAGCAACCCCTGCGCCAACGGTATGAACCTTTACTGTACAGTTTAATCAAAATAAGAAACTCTTGAACTCATAAGCTAAGAAAACCACGGTTTCTGTGATCGACGCTTCCCCCCTCTTTGAAGTGGCACGTGTGATTATGATTGCGATTACCCTGATGACTGAAGTCTGGTTCAGATTAACGAGAGTCTTTAAATGCCATCGCGAAACCGAGATAGCCTGACTTCAATCATCAGGAACGAGCCGGTACGTTGACTGTTTAAAATCAGTGGCAACGAGAATACAGAACATAACTAACCTAAAATCTCACCTAAAAACAACCATCCCACCCAGTTTTTCAACCTCGAAACAATTTATTCGTTTTATTTATTTGGGATATATTTTTCCACATTCCGCTTCTAAAGTCTAAATATTCTGTAAAATAAAACGTTTTTGCATACTTGCAGTATAATGCTTTTATGTTGTCATTATGTCATCAGTGGCATAATATGGTCCGAGAGTTACAATAATATTGTCTATTAATTTTGGTGCAATATATCGCACAACAAAATGTAGTTATTGTGACAGCCCAACTAATAGGAGATTTGATTGACTTTATTGAACCACGTACGAGGAACGGGCCCAGGCAAGCTATTGTTAGTTGCAATGATGATGCAAAGGTCTTTCGCACTGCAGATTTGATCACTTTTGCAAGAGTGTATTACAAAAGTTGCATCACGAATCAGCAGCACCAAATCCAGTCTGTCTTTCTTTGATTTCATAGAGACATTTTTACGACTGGATGAACCTGCATCATCCTGTTCTTTTAATAAACCACCTGAAGGGTCAACAACCCTTCAGGTGGTTTATACTGTATTTTTGCATCCGTGTGACTTTGGTTAAACGCCTTTATATCATGAAGGGTGGATTATCAGTCAATAATTTTATTTATCTATCAATAGGTTTGCAAAGGGGGCGGAACGTTTACAGTAAATTTTCAAACATTCCAGAAACTTTTTTATAACCTTTTTTCTTTGTAAAGGTTTTTTGCAAAAGCATTTAACAGGGATCTTAAAGGTAGTTTATAACAAGCAAGCCTGGCTCAGCTGGACCCTGAATGCAGCTAGCTGGGAACCTGGTCTGCCAGAAACATAAACATAACGTGTTGTTTCTGAACGTCTTCGTCATTACCTAGCATATCGATTACTTGGTAAACTGAAGTGAATTTTAATACCAAATATATTTGTATACAGTAGGCTAACCTTTTCACAGCAGTGAGAGTAGTATGTATGTATGTCAACACAAAAGTACACTATACCGATTCCCCTACCATTCGATAGGGATGCGCCCTGCCCCCCCAAAGAGTTTTTTTTTTTTTTTACGTTTACAATTATCCACTTATCTCTAAGCATGGGAGAGCACATTCCAATAGGCACAGAGACGTGAGCGCACACATGGGCTTGCTCCCAACATGGTCATGCTTTCATTTCCGCGTACGCACCTCCCTCCCACTCATGTTGTCAAACATATGGGAAGCACTTAGTTTGATTATTCCCGTCTGTTGGGGTCCATCAAAAAGTGCGAGTTATCATGAATAAAAAAAAGGAAAAGGATAAAGTTCTATTCACAAATGGATTAAGTCAAAAATTCAATTTTCGGAATTTGTACAAGAAATTTTTGCATGCGTGTCTGCTTATGACAAACAAAATGTTGTTATGTATGACAAAGTAAATACAGTTAAATTACCACCAAATTTCCAGTCTATTTTATGTTAATTCCTGTATATTTACTTTTAAGTCCCGTTAATTCCCATGGAAAGTTTCCAACTTTGAAGTTGGTTAATTAGTGACAAATTAATCATAAACCATCAAACGTCCTGTCTGAACAGTCCCTTCTGTGATTCAGTACAGTTTCCATTTTTGTTAGGGATTTTACTGTAAGTTGTGCAACCAGCTCAAGAATTTTTGGTTAACAAAAATAGGTAATACACATTGCTGACTCAGGGGTTTTAGGATAATTAAATTGAATAGCCTGCTGAATATAAAATTAGATTCATGAACTTGTCTTGTCATATATTTTATTGAATCTTCATTACACAACTTTAAGGATTTTAATGGTTTTTAAAAAGATATCTCTTCTCTATCTAGCTCACGTACCCCCATTTGAGAACCACTTCTTAGACCAGGTGTATTCAACTAAAATATAAAGAGGTGCAGTTAGAGAAAATTTCTAGAAGCAAATTTTCCAGAAGATCATAATTTAACTGTGATTGAATAGAAAAGTGTCAGGTTCCTTTTTCAGAACTGCGTAAAAATCGATATAAAAACGGCATGTAGCGACATGGACTCTCCTCCTCATCCAAATGTGTTTTGAAACTGAAGAATCAAGGTGTGTTGGAAAATTTAGTATCAGTTGTATTCATAACACACGTTTTCATCAGTTTTTTAATATGAGATAAAGATTGAAAATACACGTGTTTCCCCGAGGTTTCCAACAAGGAGGTAGTAGTCGGGAGAGCATTTCGGCTCCCCATGGTGCTCTCTGTCCGTCATGTGCGTGCATACACAAACATATTTGCGTACGTGTAGGGGAGGAACAGCCGTGTGTGGCATTTCAGGGGTGGGGAGGGGCGGTTAGGAAGCAAGGAAGTTAGAAGGAAATTGCAGAGATAAAAAAAGATACATCACTTTATTTACGCCGCTGTGCTACTTTCAAGACGTTGTGTTGTGCTAATATATCAGTAAAGTTAGAAAAAAAACATTTACGAGATTTGCAGTTGCATTTGGGTGAGGAGGTAGGTCTACGCCGCTCAGAGATCGTTTTTTGCCGTTCTGAAAGAGGAACCTGACACTCTTTGATCTTGGAGTCACTCAAAAATTACTTACTAGTCTTTCAATGCAGGTAATTTGTGATGGTCTTCAAAAGAAAACCCACAGGAATGTTTGTGTGAAACCCATCTGAAAGCACTATTGCATCTCTAAAGTGTATGAAAACTGAAAACACAATCATTTCAAACGGCAATTAATATTTGTAAACAATATTTTAAAGAATGAAGGATGCCCAAGCTTTTTGAATATACAAAACACAAGCATGCTTCTTAATAATTTAATTACCTCAGGAGGAAGTGCTGTTGGTGCAACTGTGTTGCCGTATTGTTGAGAAAGGGCCCACCAAAACAAATGAACAGTATAAATGACTATAACATGACTATAAGTCATAGAATGACATTTAGAATTGTTGGTGATATATGCTAAGTTGTGGTTGTAATTATTGGTAGGACAAGGACAGAAAAAAAGAAGAAGCGTGGATCCTTGTCGACGAGCTGCGACCATCAAACAAAAAGATCTGCTGATAGGGATCATCAATATTTGGTGATTAGTATTGGTGGTAAAGATATTGCCAAATCAGGGACCTCTAAAAGTTATGTATTTTTCCGGAGAACCACTAGACTAGAGGGCATATAAGTAAGTTGGAATAGAAATGTTCAGATCTAATTCAGTTCAAATGATCATTGTCTTAAATTATTCTATACAGGGCTTGACGTTAACATTTTTGCTCACTAGTGGTTTTCCAAAGTTACTAGCCACTCAGAAATTTCATTAGCGACAATTTTTGTTGTTGGTTTAATTTGATTAGAGGTGACTACGGTTTTGCCAAAAAAATGTTACTTGAAGTAAATTAGATTTACAATCCTTTCAAACGTAAATGAACCTTATAAATATGTACAGTCACCAAATCTTCTGCTCTTATAAGTGCACCGAGCTCCTTTTGTATGAAAACATATTCAACTGATTATTATAAAGACAAAAAAGAGTAGCTCATTGCATACGACTGGTGCAGGGTTACTTTGTTGTCTTCGTCTGGTGAATGGAAATTTCATGGTCCTTTATTGTTTCCATTTTGAAATTGCTGGGCCTAATTAAAAAAGGGACCCCTTAACCTTTTCACTGCCGTACGTCCTACAATCAGTGCAATACATTATTTTGTTGACTGGTAAACCAGCCGTTCTCGACTGGACCTCCACTTTTGGTTGAACAGTCTTTTCTTTGTCTTCTCTTCATTTTCAGTTTCATTTTCAGTTTCTCTCTTTTGTGTTACGGGTTTTCCTTCACCTGCTATGTGCCCCCACATCCTCGCCTTGCACTGAGCAGGTCTCCTCATGTTCTAAGCCTCCACCTGTCACTTGTGTGCGCGCGTCTATGTTACTTAGTAACGAGCGTACGGGGCCAAAAGGAAAAAATTATACATGTGCAAAACAACGTTAGCAGGACAACTTGGTTGGCTCTTCCTTCTGAAGGTATGGCGTGTGAACTGGTTGAAATGCGGGTGCGTCGCGGTCATTGCATGAGGCTTGAGAACCCTGCATGAGTTTATTATTCCAGAAAACGGCCGACCGGGTGGATGGGTGCTAATGTCAAGCCCGGAATCTATGTAAAGATGGACTCATAATGTTTTGGTTCCCATTAGATATTTCTATGTTTGAGAGAGCAGATAAACTCCTTGATTGTCACGTAGGAGTCTCTTGTGTCTTATCTACTTCTGCCTGACAACCCAAACAAGTTTAACCTTTTTGTTGCTATTGTCAACAAGCTTGTTTTAGCAGTGGCCCCAGAGAACTCTCTCTCTACCTGGTTGCAGGCTTCTCTGGCAGGATTCCAACCCAAAGACAGCAGTCAGTACCGGGCTGACTTAAAATCCTGAAATGCCTGATTTTATAGTTTGATGAGATCACCTAACACCTGGTCACTGTGGCATGCAAACTGTATGTGTATCCGGTGTACTTAAATTACTTTCTAATTTACTAGAATCAGCAGTTCCCCAAAACATTCCTTCTACCTAAACGACTACTTCCTGTCTGGCAGGCAGCCATTACTCTTAGTTTGTTTAATCAGCTTGCAGAGGTTTGAAACTTGATCCATTGGTGATTCATCATGGTCAGCACTGCAGATATCTGTTCTTGATTTAGAATATGAAACTCTTTACACTCTGCTGTGTTTATCGCTGGTGAGAAGTGCAAGAAAATAAGCCGAAGAAACCAAATTACATTATCCATCTAAAATGATCCCTGTTTGCTCCATTGTTGCTCCTACTTTTCTAGGATGTCAGACTTACCAGGTCATGAAAAGCACCGTGCAGATGGAAATTCAGATAAATGGATTTTGTTTTCACAAAAAAGATAAGATGTACCATAACAATTATTGTGATGAGTAACAAGGTGCAAGTCTCTGCAGGTTGATTTTCACAACATTATGAAAGACAAGATGGTTTGGAATATGTCAAACGGTTACCTGTACAGCAATTGTACAGGTAAAACACTGGTGTTATAACTTAAAGAATGTGGATGCATTTTCAAGGTTTTGCTGAGGCTCGGTTGGCAAATGTGTCTTTATCCGGAAGGGCAGAAATTATTCGGAGATCCTTGGTACTCACAGGATTAAAAAAAAGAACACTGCATGGAGTTTGAGCCATTCACGATAATCACGATCAGACAGCTGCAGGGACAGAACTGGCATCACCAAATATGGTATTATCCCTGAATATTACAACTGCAGTCAGTTTTCCCTCTGGTCCTCATTAGCATGTAAGAACCACTGCCTGCTTATCGTTTATCTGCAATCATTCCTCACTCTCAGTAAGCCTGACAGTGAGAGAAAAAAATACCCTCACAATTGCCAAGTGGCTGTTTGTTTTGCAGTGTTGCAACACATCACATGCACCTAACAACCAAATATGGAGCTATGGACTTTATCTGAGCAGTGTTGAATCCTTCGCTGTGTGCCTCTACATCGACCAGTAATACATCTCCAGAAGCTCAGTCGCTGCATTAGGCCTAGTTTATGCTTCTGCATTTTCAGAGAGACGCAAGGACACGCAGACGCAAGAGGTGTCCTTTGCGTGCCTTTTCACACCTCTTTGCGTGCTTGCGTGCGTCGACCCATTTCTCTAGAGTAGCGTCAAAAGCTACGCAAGCCTCCTGCAGCGCACAAGGCTGCGATTGGTCTGCTAACTACATCCTTTACGAAGTCTTACATTTCCGTTTTCATAGCCCGATACCGCCATTATTAAAACAAAGAATGTTTACGAGAGAACGGATCAGATTGAAGAACCTTTGTCAGAAGAAATGCGTAAATATGACCGCTTCTACAAGCCGTCATTGGCGGACTATAAGGACGCGCAGATGGCCTCTGATTCACGGAGGGAGATCTCCACAAACGCCGGTTTGCCGGTAGAGGGGAACAAAGTTGTGGAGGAAAATACGCAGCAGTGTCGACGCACCGGACAATAAAGTCTATGATAAATAAATAAACAACCCAACGACTTCCACACACAAAGACGTGACTCTAGGTCGTCTTCAACGAAACACGTTGCTCCACCTATTGTTCTGGAGGTGAATTGCTCTGCAACACACGCAAGACTTTTAGAACCATGAATTGAAACGAGTGCGTCGACATGGCAGAAGTATGCGCCAGCCTTAAGGAACATCCTTTCCTTTCCTGTAATCCTTCAGTAGTACGTGCAGAAAAAGATGGGGTCGGATGAAAGAGTCTGTAAATTATAGTCCTAATTTACAAATCTCCTACAGTGAACTTTCCGAACGGTGGAAAAGATGTCCTCAGGAGGTTTCTAATGAAATGCGTCATAGCTTTGTTGTTTTGAATTAATTGTATTATAATGTATAACCTCTATAAAATAGAGGTTTTTCTTTCTAAAATAAGTACATATTACCTCACTTTTCCACTAGTTTATTTTTTTCTTTTTTTTTACTGAAAAAAAATAGCAATACAATTGACTTAATTCCTGCAAACAACAATTTGCATACTTTTACCTTTTGTTGTGCCGTTGTTGTGGTGGCCATGTCACCTGTTACAGCGGCAAAAGGCTATCATCTGGTTTACACTTTACACCAGTCACATATCTGTACATCTTGGCACATCGTGACTCTTAACTCTGTCCATATTGATAAGCATTCAAATATATAGTCCACATCCCTCCAACACGCAGAATATTCCTCTTAATTAACACCCCTGCTGAAAAATTGCATACCCATAATAGAAAGGTTATATCTCTGCAATCATATGGTCTATTTGACTAATCTAAGTGCTATAATTAAGGGAACACTCGTGATGTTTTGGTCAGATATGTTAGTATCAGTATATACAGTATATGTTGCAGTTTAAGACAAAATGTAGATGCCGCACTACACAAATGAAAAAGTTTCATGTGGGCCTGAAATAAAAGCACTTGATTATGATGATTATCCCTTTTAATAATAATATTATAGCTCTAAACCTCTATCAAATCCCATCACAATATGTTAACATTCTCTCTGCAAAGAATACTTTATATATTGTGAAGGACATACTGTAGTTCAGGCGAGATTTCCAAAATGACTATTTGGGACATTTTGGCAAAATATAATAATTGTATATCACTTTTGGTGTTCACTACATCATAATACACTAGTTTCAGGGTCTAAAAAAAAAAAAAATTAAATATTATTTTTTTATTTTATTTTCAACCTCTATACATATTCCAAAAAATAACCACAAAATGAAATTTCAAATGAAAGCTTAGCACTTTGTTTAGACATTTTTGAAGGTTTCGAACATTGGCAGCTGGTGGAATTTCCTTTCTTCAATTTCAGCAAACATTCCAATATGATTTAATGCAAATAAGGTATCAAACATGCATTATTACTTTAAGTATTTAACATTTATTCCAACACTTCCAACACTTACATATTACAACATAATATGCACATACTATTCATGCAATCCAGTATATATATTTATATCATGTTTTACTGAATATTATATTTATAATATTCAGTAAAACATGATATAATTACCATATCATATACATCATCATAATAGATATACTATAATATAAATAGAACATGTATATATGTATTAAGATGCTCCTATGAACCTAGTGTGTTGAGGGAAGACCAACTCAAAAGCCCCACAAAACATCACGCAGTCAATTATTTTGGATATAATGTGCCTGTTTTCATCCACCTCCTCATTGTGTTTCCTTAGGAAGCAAGTTAACGTTCCCTAAAATGGTTAGGTATCCACGTGTGTCCTGTTCTAGTCTTTTCTTATTTTTTTGAACTACTGCTTCATGTCTTATACTCCTGTGTATGTTCATGCTGGATCTGTCTCCCATTGATTTAAGTAAGCATTGGAAGCAAAATAAGGTTTTAGGACTGCATCCAGTTAGACAAACCTTCCGGGTGCACGTTACCAGTCTCTCCAGAAGCTTTGCATGTGCGGTTTCCCTTTCACGCCAGTCTGTTGTTTGATTCTGAGGTCAGGTTGATCTCGGTCCAGCTGTTTTACTACAAAGTTCTTCTCTCAAACAGGTCTTGGAGCAGAGTTTTCTTGGAGCAGAGTTCGGGTTGGGTTGCGAGAATACTGCTCGCCATTGTCATGTTGTTAAAAAGGCACCAAAAGAGCGCAGCCTGGGATCGACCCTACAATGGCCAATGGCTGAATCTATGTTAGGACGCTAGGACGATTGGCTAAATGATATGTCACTCTTTTATATCTTTAGTCAGTAATTGCCTGCTTCTTAGACATGCAGACAGGCGGAGAGGATGTGCATGAGAAGCATTTATTTTGAGCAGATATCTTCTTTTTCAAATACTACTGGTCATATTCCATATTTCAAAAACACATTTACACAATGTATGTTTTTTTTTTTTGTGGCTCAAGGCGGGGCCAGGCTCAAAGGCCCTCTATTGGCCAGCTGCCACTGGTTTCGAACAAATTAATAGAAATAGCTGCAAAATAAGCATCGGAATGATGAAAATAAATATAGGTGCGGTGCGCTAGTGATTGCCAATGTCCAATGTTCGTCAGCAACCAAAGAGGGGTGAGCTGCATATGTGCGGACCGTGTGTCTCTTTCTGTAGAGAGCTGTGTGTTTAGCCCAAAGTAGCGCTGAGCTACAAATGTTACAAGCAGCTACGTGTTCCAATTTTTGTCTTGTGAGTTAACGTTATCATATTTGATCATTCATTTATGTGGTGTTTTTCAGTGGTATTGGAGCATGTAAAAATTGATTTAAATTCTAGGTATAAACCTATATAGATAATTACAAATTTGCAGAGGAAATTTGTATAAACCTAAATAGATAATTACAAATTTGCAGAGGAATTATTAGTATTGCAAGTACTGTCGGTGGCGACAACAATGCCAAGTGTACGACAGGACCACTGCAGGGACAACCACCATCAGATGTAACCTCCATCCACAGAAAATATGGCTCGGTTCTGCTGTTTAATTTGATGTGTAACATCACTATATATTAACTTTCCTCAGAGTTGAAGAGGTTTCAATTTGGGATTTCAGTATGTTCTACTGCCTAACATGACAGCATTACTTTTTTTTCAGTCACTTCCTAGTGAATTAGTTTTTAGATCAGTAAAAAAACAAAATATGTATTCTTTTATATACCCCTTTCTTTTCTTTGACCTTCTAATTGTTGCTGATACATTTCACTACATTCTTTGTTTTATCAGGTGGATTTGTTTCCATTTATTGGGTTTTAGTGATTTATTATGAAGCTTTAACTTGAATTCCCATTTTTCAAAAAAAGGCACAATAGTTTTTGCTTGATTTGATTCTCCAGAACCTGAGCTACAATAATTAATAATTATTATCTTGATCGGCGATCAGATTCGTACCTCCTAATCATTGCAGTTATTAACCTTTTGTCTTTTAGGTGTCTTTTCTCTAAAACCTTCCTTTGTCTGCTCTTCTCAGGCGCTCAGTGTTTGGACCTCGGTAAGCGCATCATGTGCCGCTGCCGGGCCGGCTTCACCGGCTCCCGTTGCGAGACCAACATTGATGACTGTGCCAGCAACCCCTGCTTCAATGCCGGCACTTGCGTCGATGGCATCAACGACTTCACCTGCACGTGCACACTAGGCTTCACCAGTAAGGACTGCGCCATGCGCATCAGCTCCTGCGACCACTTCCCCCTGCCACAATGGTGGCGCGTGTTACACCCACTTCACTGGCCCCGTATGCAAGTGTCCACTGGGCTTCATGGGCGCGCGTTGCGAGTACCCCGTCCCCATGGCAACAACAAAACCGTCAGGAAATCCCGACGGCCCTTCTGCTCTGATTGCCGCCGTAGCCCTCGGCCTGGTGACGCTCACCCTGCTCGTTTTCGCTGCCATCCACATTCTGCGTCAGCTCCGACGGGGCAGGAAGCTAACAGGCATGACCACGTCGGTGAAGAACAACCTGGAGACGGCAAACAACCGCAACACGTTGGTCAGTGGGGGTGGATCCTATAATGGGAGCTTACCAGGAGCGCCGCTGTGTAGCCTGAGAGAGAAGGAGGCCTTCCTCATTCCGGGGGGACAACTTAAAGTGTCCAATAAGGACGCGGCGTTGGTGGAGAACGGTGGCGACAACAATGCCATCTTTAAGAACCAAATGGCAGACTGTAACCTGGCAAGAGACGAGCAGCGCATGGCCAGGAACAAGTTTGACCCGTAAGAACCCCACGATGGTTTTAAAGGCTCTCAGTGTTTTTCTTTTTGTCTTAAATGTTTTCTTCTTTGAAGCAATGTTGCAGTATGTTTGTCTGTTATCAGATCATTCCAGTGCTCATACTCCTTCACAAAGTATTTCTGTTAGGATATTTGTTGTTGTGGCTTTACCAACCTCCTTTGTCTTACAGTAAGAAGTGTGACTCGTCCGTCATCGTTCCTCCTCTCAGTTTTTCCAAGGACGGCCTGTATCACCCAGTTTTCATCATCCCGGAGGAGATGGAGCACTGTGTGTTTGCTACTGAGGTGAGGACACATTTACCTACACAAATATGCAGGGGGAATTACTGTATTTACCATTTGGTCCTTTTGCCACACTGAACAGATAAAAAGGGGTTACTTATAAACAATTGCCAGAAAGTATGACACTAACACTTCTTCCTTAGCCTCCAGATTTCCTACAATTTTTTTTTACAAAAGTACAATAAATATTCACCAGAAGAATAAGATTCTTTAAAAACGTAAATAATTAAATCACTGGATTTATTTTATACATCAGTTTGTTGTTAATTGGAAGGCTGACGCTGTTAATTATCAAGCAAATATTACAGGAGCCTGATAATACTCTCATGTCAGATTGAGTTGTATCACATTATTTACTGAAACAGTCTCATGTTGTGACTTCCAGATATTTATACATCACGTTTGAATAATTTCTCAACATTTATTTAATGTTAAGAAATGCCGATAACAAACAATAATGCAAAATATTTTATTTGTATATTTTTGGACCCAGAAGAAGCTGTGCTGCTGACTAACTGCTGGAAATCTGTGTCATTCTCAGGTATAAGCTCCAGGTTTCATACCGCAGGGGATCTATTATGCTGAAGGCTTGAAAAGTGTTCCCCCCGAGGATCTATTCAACACAATTTATTTTATTTAATATTTATTTCTGCTGCTCAACAGAAAGAAACTAGAAAAAAATACTTTTTTCTGCTTCAATGCTGCCAATGTTCATATGACAATCTGTTAAGAAAGAAAGAGCAACAAATGAGAGAAAAGAGGAAGAGTTAAAAACCTGCGTCATTTGCACTATTATCTTTTTTTGTACTTTATATCTTAATATAATATTTCTGTTAGTATATCTGACTGTTCTTTGGATCAATCAAGATTGGGAGAACAAAAATAATTGGATGTGTCCACCAATCGGAGAAACCGGTGCCTTAGCTATCCTCTCCAATCACCGTTTTGCGTGTAATCTCACAGTATGATGTGTTAATCAAATAGTCAGTGTACCTGCTGACAGGAAAAGGAGACAGATTGTTTATTTTGAATCAAACAACTTTAATATTTTCTGTCTGAGAGCTGAACTTGAAAACTTTTTATTTTCTTGAAGAATCACATGGTGGCCTGTAAAAAGAAACATACTCTGAAGTGCCTCTTTTTATGAAAAACTACAGCAGGACCCCTGAATACAGAGGGATTATATTTTCATCTTGTGTTCAAGTTGTTGCTTTATGAGCCCAAAAAAAACCTCATTTGTAGCCACTGGAGGTCTTTCGACTGGTGATGTATTTTTAAGCCCCTCCTATGTACAATTTATCCCTGATTCTAATCGCAGTCAAAATGTTTCGGCTTGAACAGGTTTCAGTCTGGTAGAAAGTGTAGCATAGCTTCATCTTACAAAAATAATTTTACCGTTGTCTTCCTGCGATAATACTTTTACGTTATATACGTTTTTTCTCGATTGTAGTACATCATCAAAGTTTATTTTTCTATGAATCAAAAAGCAACAAAAAAATGATGCTTTTTTCTTTCACGCTGCCTTCAGCCAATGCTATCACAACCAATAAACAGGATCCCAGCAGAGACAAGGGCAACATTTCCAAGACGCAACCTGCCAGTCACTGATCAGGGTTGTTGTATATTTAGGAAAAAAGAAAACTTTGAAGGGCTCCAAATAGAGTGTTTTTTTACATCTTTTTTATTCCTTATGATACCAAAAATATCTGTAGTCGTGTCTTTGTACTATCTTCATTAATTTAAGAAACCAATGCAATGTGTACATATCACCCAGAAGATAGTTTCCTATTTAATTTTTCCTTTTGTAAATAATGTCGTATTTATGAAAGAGAATTGTATATATGTCTATGCTTAATGTGCCTGTTGTCTCAGTCAAAATGAAATATATTTTTTCATAAATACATTTAAAAACATTATTTCCTGTGTTCAGTGACTGTCTGCTCTCTTATCACCAATTCTCAACATATATGTGACCTCATAAGAAAGTAATGACTGAGATGCTTTCATTTTGGTAACAAGACATTTGGAATTCTATTACCTCCTTTTTCCTGAAAAATAATGTGGGAACTGCTCGGAAAATACAAGATGTAATATCACAAGAACAACCACAACAAGCATTTATAACATGTTTTAAATGTTGTTAGTGGAGCACAGCAAAAGTGAGACACCTGAATATATTTGCTACAGCACTGAACGTTTTGCCAAACATACAGCATTTCTTTCTAATCCACCCATCTGATAGGTGGAAAACCATTCACGCTCACATTCATATTTACCGGAAAATTCGAGTTATCAATTAACATATGCTGTGGGGGGAAACCATTCTTCATGAAAAATGAGGTTACAAGCTCGGAATAGAACGTCTTGCTGTGAGGCTACACCACCATGCAAACCATTTATTTTGTATCATTTCTGTAAATGACATATGCAGGTTACAACACAGTACAAATTGTATTTAATAGAAAACAAAAAGTGGTCACATGAGGTCACATGAAACATGGGTGAGTACATGCGTCATAAGAATGCCAATCGTTCAATCAGGGGACCGATCCTCGGCCACGCTAGTGGACTCACTTATTTAAAGCCTGCAGTGTGTGACTTTGGCATGAATGTAATGTAATACCTGATGTAGTAATAAAGAACTGGTGGGAAGATCAGAAAAGTACTAATACTAGTCCATTTACCATTAAAAGCATACCCTGCATTATCATCTATTCTACTCTAATGGAGCATCATTAGCTAAACGAACATCATGCTGTTTTGAAGAAGACTTAAAACTAGCAATTGAGAGAATAAACTCATGTTCCCCAATGTTTACTGGGTATTGAGTCAGTTAAAAGTCATTGTCACGGCATAGGTTCTTGGGGGGTACAGAGTCGGCACATATCCTTTTTATATCTCCTGTTTCTTTGAACACATAATCAACGTACAATCAGCTGAGCTGAGGCCAATTGCCTTCACCTGGCACCGTTCCCTGAGCCACTCCCCCTCTCTCCCCCCTGCAGACGAGCCAAAACCATGCCCGCCACCACATACCCCCACCGCCCGACTTAGGCCAGGAAGCCCACCGGCCTAACCTACTCCCCCCCCTCCCCCTCAAGAGGGCGGGAGAGGAAGTCTGCCACGACCATCTGCACCCCCGGCCTATTGACCACCTTGAAGTTAAAAGGCTGTAGAGCCAGATACCACCGAGTGATCCGGGCGTTGGTATCCTTCATGCGGTGGAGCCATTGGAGCGGGTCGTGGTCCGAACAGAGGGTGAATGAGCGTCCCACTCCTTCTCGACCGTGCTGTACCTGGCCTCCCTTTCGGACAGCTTCCGGCTGATGTATAAGACGGGGCGGTTGACCCCCCCCACCTCCTGGGACAAAACGGCCCCCAGCCCTCTGTCCGATGCGTCAGTCTACAGAGTGAAGGGAAAAGAAAAGTTAGGGGTATGGAGGAGCGGTTCCCCACAAAGAGTCGGTTTTACCTTCTCAAACACCTGCTGGCACTGCTCCGACCACTGGACCGGATCTGACGCACCTTGCCGGGTCAGGTCGGTCAAGGGGCTGGTGAGGTCCGCAAAGCCGGGGATGAACCGGCTGTAATACCCCGCCAGCCCCAAAAACCTCATCTCTTTTGTTGTCTTGGCCGCGGGCAGGCCGAGATCGCTGCTGTCTTGTCTACCTGAGGACGCACCTGCCCGCCCCCCAAGTGGTACCCCAGATACCGGACCTCCCTCCGTCCAACTGCACACTTACCCGGGTTGGCGGTGAGCCCCACCCGTCTCAGAGACTCCAGCACTGCGCCCACCCGCCGCACATGCTCCGCCCAGGTGGTGCTGTGGATAATGAGTCATCCAAGTAGGCGGCAGCATATGCAGCGTGGGGACGCAGCACCCAATCCATGAGCCGCTGGAATGTGGCCGGGGAACTGAACAAGCCAAAGGGAAGCGTGGTCAATTGGTATAACCCATACGGAGTGGAGAACGCAGTTTTTTCCTTGGACTCTGGAGACAGAGGAATCTGCCAGTAGCCCTTGGTTAAATCCATTGTCGTAAAGAAACGTGCAGTGCCCTGCCGGTCCAGGAGTTCGTCGACCCGAAGCATTGGGTAAGCATCAAATCGCGACACATCATTCACCCTGCGATAGTCCACACATAACCGTACCAACCCATCTTTCTTAGCCACAAGAACGACGGGGCTACACCAGGCGCTGTTGGACTCTTCTATTATCCCCATCTCCAACATACTAGCCAATTCCCCCCGAACCACTTTTCTTTTGTGTTCGGGCATCCTGTAGGGTCGTGATCTTACCGTCACCCCCGGGGGAGTCTCGATTCGGTGAACTATCAGGTCGGTCCGGCCTGGCAGGGGGGAGAACACATCAGCAAACTGCTTCTGCAACTGGGCAATGTCCGTTCTCTGGTCCTCGGAGAGACGGGCCTCGTACGGGAGCGGGGTGGGATTAGCCGCTTTTGGCACCTCCGGCCCCAGCTCTTCTCTTTCTGATACCGCAGACACCAGGGCAATAGACTCCGCCTCCCTCCAGGCTTTCAGGAGGTTTAGGTGGTATATTTGCGTAGCTCCGCCCCGGTCAGATCACACCACCTCATAGTCGACATCCCCCACCTGCCGTGTGACCTCAAAGGGCCCTTGCCACTTAGCCAGGAGTTTAGAGTTGGAAGAAGGAAGTAAAACAAGTACCTTTTCTCCCGGTGTGAATTGTCGCAGCCTGGCTCCTCTGTCGTACAGCAGTTGTTGCCGTTCCTGGGCCCGGAGCAAATTCTCCCGTGACATCCTACCCAGTGTGTGGAGCTTTGCTCGCAGGTCCAGGACGTACTGGATCTCGTTCTTGCCAGGGCTCAGACCTTCCTCCCAGTTTTCTTTAATCAGGTCCAGCACCCCCCTCTGTGTCCTGCCAAACAAAAGTTCAAAGGGAGAAAATCCCGTGGAGGCCTGGGGAACCTCCCGCACTGCAAACAACAGAGGATTAAGCCAGTTATCCCAATTGCGTTCATCTTCGCTAATAAATTTACGGATCATGGACTTCATTCAGTCTTATTCATACGTTCCACCAGCCCGTCGGTCTGTGGGTGATACACGCTCGTACGAATGGACTTAATGCCCAATAACCCGTAAAGTTCTCTCAGTGTGCGCGACATGAACGAGGTGCCCTGGTCAGTCAGAATCTCCTTAGGGATTCCAACTCGGGAGATCACCTGAAACAGCCTGCGCGACGCTCTTAGCAGAAATGTTACGCAATGGCACTGATTCCGGATAAAGCGTTCCATAATAAAAATCCAATAATGACTAACACAAAGCGATATCCGTGTGTGCTCTGGTGAAATGGCCCGATGAGGTCCATGCCGATTCGTTCGAACGGGACCTCTACCAACAGTAAAGGACGCAACGGCACCCTCGGAATGGCCGGGTGGTTCACTAATTGACACTCCGGACAGGATTGCCGGATGCCTGGCCAATAAAATCGGGTCATTATCCGGTATAGTGTTTTCCCGTATATGCCCCGCCATCGGGTTATAATGAGCCGCCTGGAAAATCATTTCCCGACGGCTTTTCGGCACCAGCAATTAGGTGTTTTCCTGCCCCGTCAGAGTGTCACGACTCACTCTATACAATCTGTCCCTAATCAATGAAAAGTGTGGATATGATTGCGCTGTGTCAGGGCGCACCAACTGACCATCAATCCTAATCACTTGGTCGTAGGCTGAGCGTAGAGTATCGTCACAAGACTGCTCAAGTGGAAAATCTTCCATGGAGTGAAACCTGGGAACCGGCGGAGATTCTACGGGAGGCTCCGCTGGCTCCCCCTCCCCGTCTGCAGCGTCGGACAACCTTCCGTCACCGCTGAGCACCGCACACATACCGCATAACCCTGTCGGTCGTGAACGCACCCCCGCGGACAGCCCCATTAGCTTATTAAACCCTGGCCAATCTGTTCCCAAAATTACGGGGTGCGTCAGGCGGGAGCTAACCGCTACCTTCACACTATGCTTTTTCCCTCTATGCCTAAATTCCACGGACACTATGGGATACGCGTGAACTTCCCCATGCACACACCTTATTTTCACCCGTGATGCCTCCACCAATGCCCCGGGCCGAACCAGGCTGTGGTGTATCATAGACTGCGTACAGCCTGAATCCACCATCGCCTGGCGTATACCCCCCTGGATTCTTACCGGAACGCGGTACGTCGCTCCCGGACCGGGGGAGGGTGTTGGAACGCCGGCAACCCGAATCACCTGTCCCACCTCCATCAGCAGACACTCTCTCCGGAGGTGTCCGGGCTGCCCACACCTCCAACATACCTGCCCCGGCGTTTGAGAGCCCCTCTGTGGGGTCGGGAAGGGCGCCGGAGCTCTCTGCGGTCAGTGGGTAGCGGGCCGGGAGGAACGATGTCCGTTGTGGGGCCGGCACGGGTCGCTCCACCGGCTGCTGCTGCCCCCCTCCCCGTTGTGCTGGTCGGGCTGGGGATGGCGTAACCCCCTGGTCCCGCTGTCTGCTGGGGTGCACCGCCAGGTGATCCTCCGCGAGGGTGATGGCAGCTTTGAAGGTCGGCGGGCGGTATTTCACCCACGCTGCCGTCCGGGTTGGGAGCCCCTCCGCAAACTGCTCCAACACCACCTTCTCCATCACGGCATCCACCCCCCCGTCGCTGTTAGGCAGCAGCCATCTGTTCGTGGCGTCTTTGAGCCGCTGCCCGTACACGAACGGCCGGTCCTCTGGCTCCAACCTGGTCTGCCGAAACCGCCGGTGGTGGTCCTCTGGCAGCAGCCCCAGCCTGTCGATGACCGCCTTACGCACGGACGCCGGTGGCAGGCCCATGGCCGCCGTCTGCGCCTCCCCGGACCAGAGAGGCAAAAGCCGGACTGGCCACTCCTCCGCCGGCCAGCCGCACGCCTCCGCCATCGCCT